ACAAACATTGGTGCTCATCACACAAAGAAATATCCCCAACGGGTCCCGAACCCGCGACCGTTGGCACAGCTAGTACACACTACAAACTGGGCCAACCCCGCTGTCAATATGTCTCATAGAGTATGCTCTAAGAAAAGCTTCTATGAAATAGTCGAAATTTGTATTAACATTATTTTATTTTAATTATTATAAAGATACAGTGACTAACATTTATTTTATTTTATTTATCTATATTTTGATTTAGGGACTTTTATCCTTTTAAGTCATCAGTCCCATCGTATCTTAGCCTAAGGTGATTTTTTTTTAAATAATCTTTCTGATTAAAAATAACGAGAATTTTATTCAAAGTTTTGCGCATGTATTTCCTAGTTATATGTGTATATGTACCTACATCAGTTTTTAATAAAAAATATATCAGTCCTGTTAATTAACTGCTATTCACTTAAATTGTCGACTATTCTAATTAAAAGTACATCTATATATATATATATATATATATATATATGTATATATATATATATATATCTTATATATTTAAACGAGCTATTCTTGTATATATATATATATATATATATCTCAATATATAATCTGAATCTCGGAAACGGCTCCAACGATTTTCATGAAATTTAGCACACAAGGGGTTTCGGGGGCGATAAATCGATCTAGATTAGTCTTATTTCTGGGAAAACGCGAGTTTTCGAATTTTCATGCGATTTTCTTTTGCATTTTCACAATTTTTGCATTGTCAGTTGTCAGTTGTCACTTCTGGTGGGTGGGAGGCGCCACTGTGCAACTGTCAACATCGTGTCCGTATTTACATCAAGTAAAAAAATATTTAAGTGGAAAAAATCTAAATAAAAATAGTAAATTATATTAATCGATAAAATCAATATGTAAACTTCACCAAGTCTTGATGTGTTGAAGAACAAATGAGCTTTTTAAAATTCACCTACCAAACAAATACAAAAGTGACAAACATAACTTATAGATACTATCAGTGCAAAACCATCTTTTCCGTGTGTGATGACAATAAAACAAAATAAATTTGTGAAGTGAAAGCGTAAAATATTAAAACATAAGTTTATAACCTCAAAAACTAATACTCGGTATAAAATTGCAATTCAACTAGGTATAGGTAATTGGTGCTCTATTTTAATCAGCTTTTCTACTTCCGACTTCTCACTTAAGATGGAGGACAAAAAAATTGCTAATAAACATGCAACAAGAAATAAGACAGCAGAAAACAGAAATGTTAGAAATGAAAGAAGACATTAAAAATACAATCAACAATAATATACTTAAATGAGAGATTTAAACACTTAGAAATAAAAATTGAAGTTCTTGAGAAAAAAATCCAGGAACAAAGTACCTCAATAAATAATTTAGAAAGACATATTAGGCGCAAGAACTTGGTTATGTTCAGAGTAGAAGAAGGTGAAAAATCCTATCATGAACTAGAGGAAAAAATAGTCTTAAACAAACGCAAGGAGTTACAAACCCAACTGAAGATAAAGAAAAAGACCTAGGCAAAACAGCTTTCTTTAAATATGACAAACTAATTATTGTGGATAATAATAAGAACACTTCTCACCAATACTCAAATAAAAGAAGTCTGCCTGTATCTCCAGAAACGCCTTACCTCAATTATAAACAAAAACTAATAAATAAACAACATACAAAGAAAACCATACCTGGTAATATTAAAGACTTTATATTACAAAAACCAAAATTAACTTTCAACCACACAAATGATAACCAGGAACAACTAAAAACAACACTGCAAGATACAGTTTATTAAACACAGTAGGAACCTCCTCATCTTTATCCCCCAGTACGGCCGGTCACCATAGGGGAGTTCGACCATAACCCTCCAAAGAAAAACAGACATACAATGAACAAAGGTATACATATCTTCACAAGAAAAACTTGTAGAATTAAAAGCAGTATTTCCTACAACAAATCAAAAGAACACAAAGATAAAATTATAAACTTGATAGGCATATCAGAAACAAATTATATATTGGAAACAAAATTTGAAAAGAAACCCTTTGCAATCATACAAGCATAATCTCCAACGGAGAGCTCTATGCAGGACTACTTTGGAGTTAACCGAGAGGGGTCTATACATGAAAAAGACATTTACTAAATAAATACATTTAAATATGAAATTAAATACCTAATTTATAACTATTGTCAGAATTAATGTATGGAAAGAAATTTTATTTATATTTATTATTGTGAAATGTTTAGTATTTACTCAATTGAATTATTTAATTTATTGTCATTGTTTATTTATTTGTTTGTTAATGATAATTTATATATATACAATATAATTTCAAATAATATTAAAGATTTTTAAAATAATTTAATTCCAGATTACAAAATTATTAATTAAAAAATTATAAGTTAATAAATAGCCACTAAATTATATAATTTTATATTTCAGCAATGTGATATAGACATTTTTTTTTTATTGTACAACTAAAATGGCTCCTTATATACTCATAACCACATAAAATTTTAATGGAATACTTTTATAAAAAGCTGTGCATACTTTTAAATTAAATTTTGCAATTCAAATAGGTAAAATTATCATGTTAAATAAATGTTTTTATGTAAATTTCGTTAGTAAGCCTTTATAATAAATAAATGAATAAATAAATAGAGTTTTATTATTATTATGATTTCTTTTGCATTATTTCAATAAATTAATAATTAATAATTCCACGCAAAATATTATGTTCGATAATTTCGCATGCTCAGATATAAGCATAATGGTCAAGCGGCCAATGCGCAAGTTTGACAACCACAGGTGTCTGGGTTCATATCCCGGTCAGGCACAAAGTTTTTAATTTTTTTTTTGTATTTATTCAAATTCTTAGTTTGTTTTTTTTAATGTTTTTTTTTGGCCAAAAACTCCGAGCAAGGCTCGGTCGCCCAGGTACTATATATATATATATATATATATAGATGTATGATATAATATTTGGTAATTATTGTCAAATATTAATATAAATAAATATTAAACTAAAATAGAAACATAATTGCGAGCAAAATTGTGGTATAAAAACGGTTCCCCTTTACAAATGGTACATCATTAAAGAGTTATCTCGAAACCAGACACAAAGGGACTAATTACGCGAAGCCGCTCGCTAACAAACCCACTGGGGGTAGGCTCTTCATATCATATGAATTTCTTCTATTGCATGTTTAATGTTTTCTACGCTAGATAGAGTTGTGCTACTTTGAAACATGCGAGAATTTCGTATATACTTTCATAATTCATAATAATGCATGTCGTAAAAAGCTATTATTTTGACATTACAAACAAACGCTTCAATTTTATTTATCGTATAGATGATTATTATATCGTGTCATCGATTCTTTGGAACTTATTTTAACGTTTCGTTCTATAAATGCTTCGTCATTGTCACTCGCAGTACCAGCCTAGCAATTAAATGGCGTTTTTTTAATATACATATATATTGTATACATGCTTTCTATTTTGCACAATTGCAGTTACCATTTTAGAGAATGTTAATGGCTTTTCTGTTTAATTGGTTTTTTTATATATCACTCAGTATACAAATTGTTATTTGTGTACTATTTTAAAACATATTATTGTTTGGCTTCATGTTTGGTTTCATAATACTTGACTTTAGACGACTTTTGCCACCTTAACAAAATTGTATTTTTTATGTTGGTAATCATTATATTTTATTGTCAACATTAATAAATTATTAATTTAGGTATTAAGTTCATTTAAAAGTTTTTATAAAAGAAAATGGTTTAAACATAATATTTTTTATAAAAGGTTTTTTTGTAGACACACACATTTCTATTTCTTAACATATTTTAAAACCTAATATTGTTTAATCACCAAACATAAGTAATTCAAAGTAGGTATAAATACACAACAACTTTTTTTAACTTTTATATAGAATTAGATTATAAATTATATTTTTTGATAACATTTTAACACTAGCCTTGCAGGTACTATACAACGTAACACGACCTTAAAATTTTATCAAACCAAGTAGTTCCGTTATAGAGACATTGGCAACAAAGAATAATGGTCCGTGACTAAAATTTCCCCTGTAGATGGTACGGACTAGCACCTGACTGTCGTATTATTATTATTACCTTCATTTAATTTACTGCGGATTTCCTACTTAGGGCCATATTTAAGTTATACATTTCTTGTACCTCATTCTCTATGATATCGTGCGGCGGTTTCATTGTTATAAATGCGATGATAGTATTTCGCGTTTGCATGCAATGTTTTGTGTTTTCTTAATGTTTATTTGTTTCCTTAATACTGCGATTTGTTATAAACGACGTATATGATTTACGATCATTTGTTACGAGGATAATAATACCATAATTTAATACTTTTATACTATAAGGTAGTGGTAGCCCAGTGAAGAGAGTGAAGAGAGTTCAAATCCCGGGTCTCGCATCTCTGATAATTTCATGTGCGAATCATTTCCAACATGATTACCACTTGTTTTAACGGTGAAGGAAAACATCGTAAGGAAACTTGCATGTCAGAGAGAACCTAGCAAGTTTTCAAAAGACATATGAAGTCCGCCAACTCGCACTTATCCAGCGTGGTGGACTATGGCTTGATCTCTTATTGTCGGGAAGCCCGTGCCTAGTAGTGAAATTTCAAAACAATATTGCAGTGATATCTTTCAATTTGCATTTTAATTTGTTTGCATGTTTTGAATTTTAATATTCTATCATGCAACTGCCACCAGGTTTTTTGTACTTTTGTATCATTCTCGTTATTTATTTACCATAAGGTAAAAACATGCATAAAGGAAGTTAAAAGGAGTTATTTATATATTTTTCTAAGAATACCCTCAGTTTTTGAATTAATTCTAGTGTAATGTTACAAAAGTAACGCAATAAGTAATTTTGATAGAAATCACGGGTTAATAGTTAAAAATTAAATTAAAAAACTGTGTTTGTCATAATTAATTCTTGAGTAATGGCGTATGCACACTACGTTTAAGAAACGCGCTAAGGAAGAGCGCATCATGATAGTACTTTGTCTGCACGTGTTCTGTTCAGAGAGAAATTAAAAAAATGCAACATGTATTCGTTTCCATCGATACAAACGGGTTATTATCGCGCGTCGAGAGTGCGTTAAAAATTCGTCGTGTGCTATTGCCATAACTTTTGAGATACCCATATTTATACAAAGATCAGATAAATTATTTTCACTGCTTAGCATTTATAATATTATTAAGATAAAAAAGTTTTTTGGGTATAATTTCTCGAAACTTGTATATTGAGATAGACATTGTATTGATGTTATTTGACGACACGTTTGGCTCTGTTTGTAGTGAGCCTACTTACTGTGCCAGCGGTCGCGGGTTTGAGTCCCGCCGATGAGTACCAATGTTTGTACTCCAGTCATAGGAGTTTATATTTATAATATGTATGTATTTAAAGTTATATATATATATGTAGTGTATAACTATCTGGTATCCATTACACAAGCCTCGGAGCTTACCATGGAACTAGATGGTGCTGTGCGTTAATGTCCCAACATATTTACATATTTATGTGTTTTTATTCTTTTTATAATACAGGTGTACTGGAGTTTAGGTATCGCGGATTCGATTCCGGACTCGTGGCCAGATGAGCTCAGTACTGATATCAACATGCAGCATCCAATCAACGTGTCTGATGGCCTCCACAGCTATGGCGCTTATATCACTGTAAGTATCTCAAATACTTTTCTAGTGATCCCGTTCTTGCGATCCCGATATTGGGATTTAATTTAAATTGTCAGTTTTTATCTTTATAAGTTACATGAATATAATAATAGCAAAAACTTTATCTCTTGTCGCTGCACGAACTTTTTCGGCAAGAACTTTATAATGACTTTTGTGAAGTTACAAACTACAAAAACCTTTAAATCGAAGGCGAAAACATCTCAATAATATTCCAACGAACCTTGTTGTACCGTTTAATAAAACTATAATTAAAATTAAAAAAAAATAGTGTAAGTTAATGCTGTTAATAAAGACTTTTTAACAATATTATTTATACACTGGCTTTAAATTATTTAAAAATTGCAGAGAGACCATTAAACCTCATATTATGTCCGGAGCCTTTTTAAAGGCATTATAGTAAATTCAATATTGTTTATAAAGCCTCGAATAACGGACATAATAATTAATTAGTCTACTCTTAGTAGTATCTTCTTTAATATATATGGGAATAATACCATTGAGGTTTTACCTATCCAGTAAAAAAGAAATAATGATAATTAATTCCCAGTTGTGGAACATTTCGCACAACATACACACAACACAGGTCTTTCTCCTTTTTGAAGTCGTTCAAACTAATAGAAATGTAAACTATCTTCAAGGCGTTAAAAATGAAAAAAACTGATCGATGTTTTATTTAAAGTTATTGGGCGTATGTTAAGTATTTTTTAACTATTTTTGAGCCGGACGCATACGTTATATTCTATTACTCGTTTTTACCCGCGATTCCGCTTGCGTACTTTATACCTGTATACTTGCTCTACTAAGATCCAGAGATTAACGCGCTCCGCTCGGGTTCGTCCCTTTGTTTTGACGGTTAGTATAGATTTCTCAGAGATTACATATTTTTCCGCAGTAAAAAGTATATCCTGTATATTGACCCTGATAACCAGCTATCATCATACCAAGTTTCATCAAAATCTGCTCAGTGGTCTTCTCGTGACGCGTTCACAGACAGACAGACAAAAATTCTGAAAACTATAGATTCGGCCTCTGTATCGATAATAGTGTATATTTCAATAAGATTTACCAAAAAATATTTAATGTACAGAATCGGCTTAGTTACAATTTTTTTATATGTATAGATAATAGCCTACATGTAAGATACATTTACAGCGGTGAAAATGTCATGTTATTGATTATTCAGATTATACATTGAATAAATTATTATTAATAACTTAAGCGGATTGTATTCCGTTGGGTCAGAAAAATATAAGCGCATAAAGTGCACGCGATACCCGCATTAATCAAACTTTGTGGCGGTAATACTTGGTAATACTTGATTAATAATTAATATGGTCTAAGGTCTTAGAATAAGGAATTAGACCTAGCTTAAATTTTAAACTGTTTATCCAGTGTGAATCATATACATACGAGGTTTTTTATATAAAATCGAATTACATATTGTAGTGGTTAATGAGGTCTAAATGAAACGACTTCTGGATGACGACTGATTTATTATAATTCCCTTCTTCGAGAGTTACGAATACCGACATGACAATATGTTTATTTTAATATAATATAGTTATACCCACAACATCTCCCTTCGTTATAAATAAAAATAAATCAAAGGCTACATTTTAACTAAGCGCGTAATATATGTATATATAGAAAATATTTTGATACATAAAATTAATATACTACCTAATACATTTATTAAACATAAATATTACCTATTTCACTCCTTTTTCTGTTTTTTTTTTCTTATCTCAATTATATATTTATTATTTAACCAAACTAATATCAACACCATTACCATCTGCTATATTCCTAATCATAGCCAAGTCTGTTAGGAGGGCGCACAATTCGTCCACTCCTAGTCACTTGAAATGATGGCGAAGGGTGCTGCGCCTGCGTGGGGCTTTGATCTTTTACTAAGTCTGTTGTTAGGCCGTAGTCGTAATTAAAACAATCATAGTCTAAGCTACTTTTTTTTTTTTTAACGTTGGGAAATGCATTTACGCACGAAGTGTGGGACTCACCGGCAAAGCCAGTACTACCCACTAAAACCCAACAAAACCTTCCCCCGTCTTAATGGGGCGTCGCAGGATCGCTTACGCATTCAACTACGACACCCCGACGGCAGATCTGCCGAAGTAGACCACAACAACCATGGGGTTGCTCCACGGTCCACTCTGCTATCAGAGAAGTACCAGGAGCAACCCGCATGGTACACCGCCCTCCGAAGAAGGCCACCTCCCACCGCCCACCGAAGCGGGCCACCTCCCTGTGCGTTTCTTGGCTTCGCGAGTACACTACTGAGCCCCCCCACCACGACAAGGTGAACGCACGTTGGGGGGGATAGTCTAAGCTACTAAATCTACTTATTGAATTATTATTATTATTAAGTTTTTTATTGTTACAATTCGGTAATATCATTATATGTTGTCTATTTCGTCTGTAAATGCCTCCATTTTCAGCTTGAAGCCAATATGAACGATGTCCACTAGCGGGACGCAAAACTTGAGCTTTAATCCATTTATTATTGTGTCTCATTCTAACAGATTCATTCGTTTTCAATGGAATTAAGTCTTTAGTACCACGATCATAATATGATTTGTATTGAGTTATTCTTTTTGATCGGTTTTTTAACATAGATTGCGGTTGGATCGCTTGTGGCTTTAATTGAGAATTTTTAACGGGTAATCTAGTGTTTAATCGTCGACTCATTAATAGTTGTGCCGGGGACCAAGTTTCACCAGTGACTGGTGTATTCCTAAAGTTTAATAATGCAAGTTTCCAGTCCTCTCCACTCTCATTAGTCTTACTCATAAGCGCTTTTATGGTTCGTACATTTCTTTCAGCGAGTCCATTAGATCGTGGATACAGAGGGGAACTCGTAGCGTGCACAAATCCCCACTTCGTCTTAGCATTTCCTTGCGTAGAAAAGTCGGTATAACTACTCGATTATTCCTAAACAAAATTCCGTTAATAAAATGAAGATCGCCTCTGACCGTCCAGTACTGCCTTACAATAATATCGGTATCTCTTTTATTATTCGGCCAGCCGTCTTTATAATAGCGGTAAATAGCCGCATATACTGCTTCTTTAGCCGTTTCTTCCTTAATTTTTTTTAACATTTCCGGTGAAGCTTCAACATTCTCATATAAAGTGTTAGCATGAATAATTACATCACTACACACGTCTTCATCGCATCCTTTCTCCATCGCGGCTCGGGACAGAGTGTCCGCTATAAACAACATTTTACCCGGTCTGTATTGTAAATTAATTGAGTAGTGCTGTAACTTTAACAACATTCTTTGAAGTCGAGCCGGTGCATCGTTTAGTGCTTTTTTAAATATTGCCTCTAGTGGCTTATGGTCACTTTCAACTGTGATTTTATCGTAACCATAAATGTATTGATGAAAACGCGTACATCCAAATACAATCGCGAGTAATTCCTTTTCAATCTGCGCCCACCGCTACTCCGTCGGCGTGAGCGTGCGCGCCGCGTACGCGACCGGCCGGCCCGCCTGCAGCAGGCATGCACCGAGGCCGTGCGCACTCGCGTCTACGGACACAGTCACCGGCTCTTGTGGATTATAGTATTTCAATACCGGAGCAGAACTTATCTTCTTTTTTAATAAATTGAAAGCGTTGTCGTGGGGTTGAGACCAATCAAAATTAGTTTTTTTAGAAAGTAACTCTCGTAAAGGTGAAGATAACTCAGAATATCTAGGGATAAACCTTGACAAGTAATTAGTTACCCCTAAGAAACGTTCCAACCCCTTTTTATCCGTAGGCTTTTTCATATCTAAAATGGCACTCACCCTGCTTTTTTCCGGTAATATTCCGTTAGAATTAAAAATGTGTTCTAAGAATGTAAGTTGCGTAACGCCAAACTCGCATTTATTTTTATTAAATTTAACTCCGTTATTTTTCGCTCTAGTAATGACCTCATTTAAACGTTTATCGTGTTCTTCCTTAGTACGTCCCCAAATTAAAATATCGTCAATGAAAACCTCAACACCTTCCATTTTAAATATCTTACACATTTCATAATGAAATATTTCCGGAGCACAACTAATCCCAAATGGCATGCGCAAAAACCTATATCGGTCATAGGGAGTTGAAAATGTACATAATTTTGAACTATATTCATCTAGACGTAGCATCCAAAATCCATTCTTTGCGTCACATTTTGAAAAATATTTTGCTCCCGATAAGTTACTGAGTACTTCATCTAAAGTAGGCATTTGAAAGTGGCTCCGTTTAATAGCTTTATTTAGATTACGCGGATCTAAACAAACACGAAGTTTTTTATTCGATTTCTCAACAACAACAATGTTCGAAACCCAGTCTGTCGGTCCATCCTCTTTTTTAATTATATTTAATTTTACCATATTATCTAATTCCTCCTTTAAACGGGGTTTTAATTTTATTGGTATTTTTCTCGCAGCACCAACAACAGGCATTATCGTTTTATCTATTACAATCCTACAAACAGACGGCAAGCATCCAACGCCCTCAAAAATGGATAAATTAGATATTTCCTTGCTTAAAGACACCTGATTCAACCTAGGTATAAGCCTTAAATTCACACACGCTCTTAAACCTAATAAATTATTACAATCATTGCTTAAGACATACATTTTTTCAAACCATTTAGTATTATTAAATATTAAAACACTATTAAAATATCCAATTACAGACAACTTATTTTTACTAATTTCTCTTAAAACGGTATTACATTTAACTAAATTTAATTTATCAAATCCGGCATTTTCAAAAGATTTAAGCGACATTACCGAAGCCTCCGCTCCAGAGTCCAGTTTAAATTTAATATAAACTCCATTTACACTAATAGTTTCACACCATGAACTACACGACTCCCCTGCCGCCTCAATCGAAACATTGTACATAAGTAACTCACCGTTATCGCCGTATGTCTGTTCATCATTCTTACTCTTTATCGAGTCCGAACTCACCCCCGCCTCTTCGACGACTTCGCGCGTAAATTTTACTTTACAACACTTCGCAAAGTGACCTACTCTCTTGCACCGAAAACACTTAATTGAATACGCCGGACAATGCATACTATTGCCATGCCTAAAGCTACACTTTTCACAAACACTCGCACTGTAGCGTTGATAGGTGCCGGCGGGCAGGCTGCGCCGCTCGCGCCAACCGCCACCGGCCGCGCCGACGTCACCCCGCGCCACGTGGCGCCGCCGCACCTGCTCGAGCGCCGCGGGCGGGTCGGCACGCGCGCTGCACGCCGCCGCCTGCTCGCTCGCTCGCTCCGCCGCGCGACACCACGCACTTGCCTCTTCTAATGTTATCGACGATCTCGCTAATAATTTTTCACGCATTTGTATGTCTTTTAAGCCACGTATCAATTGAGTTAATATGAGGCAATTCTTTAAAGTCCCGAACTCACAATTGTTACTTTGCTTTTTTAGTGATCCGACAAACTTATCAATCGTCTGCTCGTTTTGGTAGGTTTCAAAGAAAGTATGACGTTCAAAATTAATATTTTTCTTGGGATCACAATATTCACTGTATTTTTTACACAAGATTTTGTAGTCATTTTCATCGTTATCCGATATTTCTAATTCTTCCAAAATTTCTCGTCCATATTTTCCTATACAATGCATAAATAATCCACATTTTTCTTTATCATTAGTAAATTCTTTGCCTGTAGCTACTAAAAAATAATTAAACGCCGTTTTCCATTCTCTCCAGTTGGCAGCCATATTGCCATCTTGTTGCATCGGTGGAGGTTGTTGAATAGCCGCACAGATGCTGCTGTCACCCTTGCTATCATATTTTGCCATGATATAACAATTTATTTACTTTTTAAATTCACTAAATCCTTATGCATATATTTTCTATAATATCACACCTGACACCATGTAGTGGTTAATGAGGTCTAAATGAAACGACTTCTGGATGACGACTGATTTATTATAATTCCCTTCTTCGAGAGTTACGAATACCGACATGACAATATGTTTATTTTAATATAATATAGTTATACCCACAACACATATGTTTGAAACGACTAATCTAGGACGCTTTTAATAATTCATGATATTATACTAGAATGGACTAATCTATACTAATATTATAAAGAGGCAGAGTTTGTTTGCGTGTTTGTTTGTTTGTTTGTTTGTTTGAATGCGCTAATCTCAGGAACTACTTATCCGATTAAAAAAACGTTTTTGCATCAGATAGCCCGTTTATTGAGGACGGCCATAGGCTATATATCATTCCGGAAAAATGTACGATTCCTAAAGGATAGATTTGTTTTTGTCTTGGGATGAACCCAAAGCGAAGCGAGGGCAAGTAAGTGTTATCATGTACGTCAATTTTATTATTCTTATTTGAGCTTTGCGTCGAAGTAATTCAATTATTTTTGTTTAATAATACACTATAGTTCAAGGTTTCTCTTATATAAATTTCAGAGAAAAATTCCACCCCCTAAGCTTAGAGTTATTTTTTGTGATTTCTTTAATTAAAAAGCCTTTAATAAATATTTTGTTGTATAAAAATCTAATTTTGTTTATATAACCATAACTTTATAACTGACTAGCATTGCCCGCAGCTCCGCCCGCGTTCAGATGACTAAAAACCAAATTCATAGATTTTACATGTTAGTATACTCTTACAATGTAGTATTCAATTTTTTCTCTAAAATGAGATATTTTCCCGCGGTAAAAAGTATCCTATATGTTGACCCGGGTAACCAGCTATCATCATACCAAATTTCATCAAAATCTGTCCAGTGGTTTTCTCGTGATGCGGTAACAGACAGACAGACAAAAATTCTAAAAACTATAGATTCGGACTCTGTATCGATAATAATGTCTATTTCAATTAGATTTTCCAAAAAATATTTAATGTACAGATTCGACTTAGTTACAATTTTATTATGTGTAGATGTTGGTCACGTGCACTCACCAAAATAGCCATCAACGCGGAAAATATTATAATTAATGTAAACAATGATGTTGTGAAATGAAGTAAATTAAACTTGTAACCGGCAAAAGCAATATATCTATGCATCTAATATACATGAGCACTTACTGAAATTAAAGGAAACTGCATCATATATAATATAATAGGACATTCAATTGAGTACTAAGTTGATGTTAATTAATATTGCAATTACCTGTTTTAATAAACACGTGTATTCTGTGTGTTAACATATTATTGTGTATATAATATTATATGCAGTGTAAAGTACATTGGATACTTGGTCGAGAGTCGGGGGTTTGATCCTGAGCGGGATCAACGTTTGATTTGATATATAATATAGATATTTGTCAGGAGGAAATATTTGTCCTTTACGATATAAAAGAAGTAGATGTATATATATTTTGTAAATCAATAAATAATTTATTAATAATATTTTTAAATAAATAAGTAGTAATTATGGTCACAGGAGAGACTGATATTCAGTCTATATATATTATGTAGTTAATTATTATAGTTAGTATAGTTTTATTTAAAACTAGCATTGCCCGCGGCTGCGCCCGCGTTCAGATGACCAAAAACCAAATTCTTAGGTTTTACGTACATTGTATAACCTACTCTTACATTGCAGTTTTTGTATTTTTTCTAAATGAGACATTTTCCCGCGGTAAAAAGTATCCTATATGTTGACCCGGATAACCAGCTATTATCATACCAAATTTCATCAAAATCCCTCCAGCGGTTTTTCTTTGATGCGGTAACAGACAGACAATAATTATAAAAACTATAGATTCAGACTCTGTATCGATAATAATGCTTATTTCAATCAGATTTTCCAAAAAATATTTAATGTAGAGATTCGGCTTAGTTACAATTTTATTACATGTATAGATGTCAAATATTCGCGTAAATCTAAGAAAGTGGGTATTTCTATGTAGATCGAATAGGTTGCAGGCAAATTTCGTATAGACACATGATGTATACTGTTACTGTATAAACATTTATATACATTGTAAAAACTGCCCATAAAGCCTTGTTAACATTTTAGACTTGTACGTCAATTAGTAAAGGCCACTCGTTTACAGATTGTTGAAGCATTTAACCGAACGCAAGCACCTCACTCAATATATAAACGCTAGTGACATTGAGGTGAATGAACCCTTCAGGTTTTGCTTTAGAATATATTTGCTAAGGTTTGATGTTTATGTATTGAATTTTAAAAGATATATCTGATTATCGTATTACTATTATAGATACAAAACTTAGTATGTGCCTGTATCTTTGTTACTCGTGATTTGATGATGATTTAGATGTGAAGTAGTAGACAAACCTGGAGTAGCACACAGCCACTGTCAGGCAACCAAGCGAAACGAGGTTTGATAAAACACAAGAATGTAAGTTTAAGCGACAGGAATATATTATAAAAAACATGAAAAAGCAATTTTGGTATTTTCACTTTCTTTGGTAGGAGACGTCGGTGCCATCATGTGGTGGTCATGAATTAATTCTAATGCTCAAAAATTGAAAAATCGACGAAATATCAAAATAAATACAAGATTTTTTTTAATGATAAATCTCACTATTAATCCCGTAAGGCGTAGCGTGTTGTTTTGTTGTTGTTTATACTAGAAATGAAACGGATAACCGGTAACTTTCCGGTATTTGGCCTATCCGGTCTTATTTTCCTATCCGACCGGATACGGAATAGTAACGCAATATCCGTTTCGTCACTAATTTATAATATTGCATTCCTAAGTCAAATCTTGCAACTAAAGCATTCACTTAGATACTTTATTACTAACAGTGTAACATATCCCATGGCAATGTTTTAATGGACCTAACATAATCTTATGTCATATTTTAATATAGGAAATATTTCTATAATATATAAATAACGTCAATCTGTTTCCGCATAAGAGAAGTAGAGAAACTAACAAAAAAGCCGAGTCCTGGGTAATGGCAATAGAGGTATTACACATAATTTTTTTAAGATATTGCACCTCGTACCTCGAAGATAACTGCTTTTGCGACTTCAACTACTTATCTAACTACGAGAGTATTGGGAAAAACACTATTTATAATATCTCCTGCGATTAAATAACTAGCCCGAAATTAACTATGAGGGCTAAAATTGTCATTATTATTGCATTAAAAGCAATATTCTTTACAGAGTTCACCGCCACCTCTTAGTCCTGAAGGCCGTACTAATGATGACGACGCGATCGTCAACATCATACAGAGTGCCGAGGAGTTTGTGTACGTCTCCGTCATGGACTACGGCCCCGTGTTGGAATATGCGCCCAAACTTAAGTAGGGATTGTTTTATCTATTTAATATTTACATTTTGATTTTTTGATTTTCAGTAAAAAATCTAATAAATTAATTCAATTGTACAAATGGTAAGTAAGTAAATAAGCATGGAATATTAAAATCTTTAGTGGACAACCTGCAAAATATTTATGATTGTAACTAGCTTTAAGCTTACCCCAGACATCAGATAGAATAATATAATTAAAAAATATATCAAGAATTTGTATGTTTATGCTACGTCATATATGATACTAGAGACTCACCTTCGCTTCGCTCGGGTTCGTCCCGTTTCGTTTGTTTTAACGTTTAGTATAGATTTGTCAGAAATTAGATATTTTCTCTATAACCAGCTATCATCATACCAAATTTCATCAAAATCCCTCCAGTGCTTTTTCCGTGATGCGGTAACAGACAGACAGACGACAAAAATTCTAAAAACTAGATTCGGTGTCTGTATCGATAATAATGTCTATTTTAATAAGACTTCCTAAAAAATATTTAATGTACAGATTCGGCTTTGTTACAATTTTATTATATGTATAGATATATGGTATACAGTCATAATAAGTAATCTAAAAACAGTTACAAAGTAAACTTACATTTATAATATATTTTTTCTTGGCTATATCCAAGCCATAGTAATGAGGTAGGCTAAAGAAGGCTGACCTCACTATTAGATGGCACATATACCACTTTACTGCCTCATATAACCTTCTATTTTAATTTGCTCTAGTCTAGAAATAAGCAAATTCTGGGTTAAAATCGATAATGCATTGCACCACACGGTGCTTGATGCGACTCTCGAAGTCTGGCAAAAACTACATAGGCACATATCAATTTATATACAAACTTTTATCCTCATTTTTAACCTTTTAAGGGATGATTTCCGGGATAAAAAGTCCAATCTCCAACTTCCAACCTTTCAATTTCCAACCTTTCAACATTTTTTTTAACATGTGGCGCACGATGAAATTGGTAGATACATAAAAACGGACAAACAAAAAGTTTTAACAATACGGTGTCCTAGTGTCATATGTAAGATTGTATGTATGTATTCAATCCTTTTTAACGTCCCACTGCTGGGCACGGGTCAGGCCATAGTCCACCACGCTGGCAAGTGCGGGTTGGCGGACTTCACATGTCTTTTGAAAACTTACTAGGTTCTCTCAGATATGCAGGTTTCCTCAAGATGTTTTCCTTCACCGTTAAGACAAGTGGTAATCATGCTGGAAATGATTCGCACATGAAAATATCAGAGATGCGGGACCCGGGCTTTGAACCCGCTTCACTCGGTTTCCCAAGCAAGCGCGTTACCACTGGGCTACCACTGCCTACTTAAGATTGTATATTTTCAACCGACCTTTACCTTAAAAATGAACGTATTACATGTTAATATAACAGAATGGTATTTCAATAATACTTACCAAAATTCTCACATGAGACTCATATACATCATTACCTCAAAAAAAACTCTTAAACGTAACACTTTTGGGCACCATATCTTTATATATATAATTCTTCTGTGAATGTGTATGTCACTGAACTTCTCTCAAACGACTGGACCGATTTTGATGAAATTTTTTGTGTGTGTTCAAGGGGATCTGGGAATGGTTTAGATTCACAATTTGAATAATAATTTTCATCAAAAAAATTATTAAAAAAAGTTTGAAATTTTCAAATTAAAGACGTGTAGACAGGACAACGTCTGTCGGGTCCGCTAGTTGCTAATATGTTTTGTTGGTTTAAATGTTCTCTATCTATTAACATCGTGTGCCATTACTAGGAAAAAAATTAGAATGCCCTTGGGTGGCTAATGTTACCTTCCATAATAAATGTTCTAATACCTTTCATTAATGTATATTTACGATCCGTATTATATCCACGTTAAACCGTGGGTCCACCACTTTCGTACAAAAATAATCGAACCCTTTTTACTTAAAGTTCTGGTTCAAAATCGTCCTCTTTTAACTAATCCATATTTACTAATATCTGATTATATAAATGTGAAAGTTTGTGAGTATGGATGTTTGTTACTCTTTCACGCCTGAACGGATCTTCATGATATTTGCGACAGAAATAGATAATAGTCTGGAATAACGCATAGGCTATTTTTTATCCCGGAAAAATGTACGGTTCCCGTGGGATAGGTGTGTTTTTGTTTTCCTAGAGGCGAACCCGAGCGAAGCGATAGTGAGCTGCTACTAAATATTATAAATGTGAAAACTTGTGAGTATAGATGTGTTTTACTCTTTCACGCCAGAATGGCTGAACGGATCTGGATGAAATTTGGAGTTATGGAAATATGTAGTTTGAGACCCTGGGAAGGACATAGGGTAGTTTTTATCCCGGAAATTGATCGGTGGAAGTTTGAGGGATCAATCATTTCTCAATTAAGGGGGATTATTTTTAAAGTATTTACCTATTTTTCCATACCTACTATGTATACATATATAGTCTATCTATTCCATACTAACCGTTAAAACGTACCTAAAACAGATTCTGGCCTAAAATCGACGACGCGTTACGTCGCGCGGCGCTCGAGGCGCGCGCGCGCGTGCGGCTGCTGGTGAGCTGGTGGCGCCACTCGCAGCCCGCGGAGGACCACTTCCTGGCGGCGCTGGCGGCGCTGCGCGGCGCCTACCCGCGCGTCGACTTGCAAGTGGTGGGTATTATTTATTTATTGAAGTAATAACTTCTTATGGGAGGGTAAACCGCTTCGTTACGTAACGCGTTACGGCGCCAGTCAGTCTGGCTTCCCTTTCTCTCACGCATACGGCAGCGGTATGCAGGCTCTTCCTCTCTCACTCTAACCCACAGCGCTAGCTGTATTTCGGACAGACAAGAAAATTTAAGTAATAACCTAAGCTTCCCTGAAGTTAAATAATTTCAATATTGAATAGTTCAACTTAGATTTAGTTTAAGTTATCACTTCTGTCGGGCGTTCCGAGGCGCACACGTTTTATATATTTATTTATTTATTTTATTTTATTTATTTTATTTATTTTATTTATTTTATTTATTTTATTTATTTTATTTATTTTATTTATTTTATTTATTTTATTTATTTTATTTATTTATTTAAACCCACCAGTGATATACAAAATTATTTAGTAAAAATAAATACAGTGTAAGCTACACTGTATTTATTTTTACTACTAATTCTAAATGCAATATCTTTTAAGGCAGATACAACATGCAATTATAATTAGGAAGTTTATATGGTATAATCAAATTGATATGATTGAGAATATTTAACTCCCTCGTTGGTGTGGTGGATGAACCTGGATTCGAGTCCCGGGTCGGGTCGAGTTCAGTTTTTGCATATTTATGTCAAAAAATTCTCAGTAATACACATATGTGTTTTTAATCTAGTTCAGGTAGGTTCCCTAAAAAAATATAATCAATTAGGGGTTCCGTGGTCAAAAAAAAATTGGGAACCTGGAGTAACACATAGGCTGTCTATCGAGTATATCAAATAAATGATTTGATGAACTACGAGTATATTAAATTAGCAAATCAACCCACAGAGACGCTTCATAGTGCCCTCTACACCCGAACAAGACAAGATACCGTACGCGCGCGTCAACCACAACAAGTACATGGTGACGGACAAAACCGCTTACATTTCTACTTCCAACTGGTACGGGGACTACTTCGTGGACACCGCCGGCACTTCTTTTGTTTATAACAGCAACAATAACAATCATTATAATAATAATATTACTAATTACATAGATATAAGGACGCAACTAGTTGAAGTCTTTGAAAGGGATTGGAACTCCCCATATGCAGTCCCGTTGAGGAAGTTATAGCATTATCTTTAGTAAATGCTTAGTTTTTTTTCTTTGTTTTTTTTTTCTGTAGTGATAAAGATTAATGTTTGTTTATTATTTATTGAATTATGTATTTTGTATATAAAATTACCTTTTGGGCATTCAATATTTTATTTGAGGGTGTTGGCGTAAAAATGACTAGGATATATTTACGTTATGTATATGATATATACACATAGATGAAAATATGCTAAATTAATAAAGCTATATTTAAAATGTAAATTAAAATTGTATCATGTTTAGACAAATGTCGAAGTGTAGTTAAGCCAATTTTATCATGACAGCCATAGTGTAAAGAACAATATATTACGAGTATGTATTAAACACATATTAGGTATATATTCCTTATGCCCAAAGAACTGAATTCAAAAGTTAAATAAACTTTTGATTAGTATAGAATAAATCCTCCGTTCTTTAAAAAATAAATCTTTAGGTTTTATTCTTTCGACATTTTAACAATTTGCTCTTAAAACTATATAATTTGTAAACAAAAATTAAAAATTATAAAAAAAATAATAATATGATTGTCTATGAAAAAAATTGATGATGTGTGAGATTTTATTAAAGGAGAATAATATATGCATAATGGCGCCTCGTACTAAAGGTGTTATTTCATAATTTATATACTATGATTATAATTATTCATTTAACTGCCTCGGTGGTGTAGTGGCTAGCATGAAAGGCTACACACCCGGAGGTCCTGGGTTCGAGTCCCGGGTCGGGCCAAGTTTAGTTATTGAGTCTTTCTGTATACTAAGCCTCAGTAGCAGCCCGGAGTTGGGAAGTTGGCGGTGTTTCACCCCCTCGGTGAGCACGTAAAGCCGTCGGTCCTGCGCCGACACTCTCACCGTTCGTATCTCGTGTCGTCCCACTGGAGTATGAGAGTGACAGGAATAGAGAGTGCAATTGTGTCTGCGCGTACACTTGTTCACTATAATATCTCCTACGCAGTTGGTTAGTCTCAATGAGATTGGCCGCCGTCGCCGGTCAGGAGGACATCATCTCACATAATTAATTTAAATATCAAATTGAAAAGACAGCAAACATAACAAAAACAGTATTGTAGGTTTTTTTTAATTTAGCTTTATCTAGGCAAAGGTTTGTTTATCTTTGTTGGTCTTTGGGCATGATACATATATGTATTTATAAATATATTTTTTTAAATAGTATTTACTATATAAGGGACCCAAAATTTAAGGCTTTTCAATACTTAAAGATTTTGGCTTGAAAAAAATCTAGATTTCGCCAAAGTTGTTGAACATTTGTACCCCTCTCTTTGACAAACTGCCACTTTTAGTTATAAATTAAACCTAAATATAAGTTAAAATTAAAACTACTTTTACTGCAGTTGTTATTTATAGGTATGCGGAACTCAAGTAGTCCTTATAATTTGATTGCCATGTATGTGGGAAAGGTATTTAATAAGAACGTTTATTGTAAATATGAAATACATTATATTTAATTATTATGTCGATCATTTTCTTAGTAGATACCTATGTATGTATGTTTGTGAATTTTTATAATTTTGTTTTTATGAGTGACTAAATATAATGTAACTAGTTTTATTCAAAAGAAATAAAATTCACGAAACTAGTTTCAATAAAAGTGTCTGTTGTTTGATGACGTCATTGAAAATATACAAATATTATAATTGGAAGTCATTTTAATAATAAGACAATGTATAAATAAATATATAATATAAATTGTACGCATTTTGAAAATATTAGATTCATTCAACATGCTATCTAATAAGATATAACGCTATTTTAAATAACTTCTTGTTTTCAATTTTGTTTGAAATTGGGCTAATATTAAGTACATATATATAGTTCTCTTATACGTTATTTTCCCATATATTCGAAATTCAGTGTGATAGTGTGCCTTTTTGTCCGTGTGTTTGTGTAGATTTTTATATCTTCTAGTATTAACTGTAAGTAACTATAAAAAATCTTCATTTTCAAATATGAAATAGATATTTCAAGCTTATTGTTAAGATAAAGTTTTATTATTTTATGCATCATATTGTTTTTAACTTTAATTACTCTTTACGATGGCTCAATGATCGAATAAACGAAGCGGTTGATATTGGACTTACAAGTATGTTTAAAGACCGTTTTTGAGGGGTATTTAGTTATTTTTATCATTCTTATGTATAGTCAAGTAATTAAGAAATTTATTCTTCTTAAGAATTTAACAAGGTAAAAGAATCCAATATATAAACAATTAAGAGTAACGGTCGGACATAAATTGTTAAAAATATTTAATATAAATATCTGCAATATACAATATGCTATAACGTATCTATATTATTCATGGTATTATTTATAAAATTCACCAAAACTATGTTGTCGAAACAACTCTTCATGAACGTTGGCTTTATTGAAGTAAAACTTCTTTAGGCGTGACCGAGGGGTAAGTCAATACATTGGGAAAATGAGTGTCGCGGAAGTGAGAGTCAAATTTATAATTAATAATAAAAAAAAAATTATAATAATTATGATTTATAAAAATTATATATTTATTATTAATAATATTATGAAAATTATATTATTTATATATTGATTTGTTTTAATTTAATTGCGGTATCGGCCACAGCGCCAAAGAAGTTTTACTTCAACCGCGTGTAATGGTTACACGCACTTAATTTTTTTGTTTTGCTGTACTTAATGATCATTTTAATAAATATATCCCAGTCTCAATCGATGTATAAAAATTATCTGTAACTATATTCACGAGGTGTTATGAATATTATTTGAAGCTCGAAACAAGTTTTTTAACATATCATACTGCAAAAGTTTATTTTTAATGATACTTATCTTTTACTTTTTTAATATAAGGTTTTGAAAGCAATAGCTCGTTGCAATGGAGGACAATATGCGTGATATTTGTTCTAAACTTGTAAATAAAGACTATCTAAAAAAACTGTTTTATTTGTATACCTACACATTTAATAATATTGTCACTTTTGTGTCAAATTGAAATATTACTTATATAATACCTGGGGCACTAAACTTAGCTCTGCGTAGGCGCTCGTCCAGTAAATGATCATCCACTGGCATTTGGCAATAATGTAAGTACCACTAATATTCACTAGATGGCGCTATATGACATAGCATGACAGCAAGCAAAGTAAGGTTTTTTTTTGAAAAATTGCGTTTTTTCAGAAAAGACTTAAAAAGCAGAACCTTATCTAACTGCAAAATTCTATTCAAATCCTTAGAGCCGTTTTCGAGATACACGAAATAAATTTATATATAAAAAATATACAAGAACTGCTCATTTAATATTAAAAATATATGTATATTCCAACATTTTTGGTACCATAGTAGAAGCTACAAAAAAATCATTATGAATTAATGAAAAAAAAACCAAAAAATTTTTGTAGCATTTATTAATAACTTGTGTTAAATTTAACACGTTTTAAATATCTAAAATTACAAATGTCAATATAATCTTATAAATCGAAAACTTACACAATAAAAAAGAAGTCAAACTAAAAACCAAATATTGAAACGTGTAATGTAATTACATAGCATCTTCAATGTCGTACAAATCTTAATAAATTGTACTCTTCAGAGAACTATTTCATATACTGAGGCTTTAAAGAAGAAATAAGATTGAAAGGCATTTTGACCAAAAATATAAATAGTATTAATAAATTTTTAGCATTTTTGTTTTCTTAATAAAAAAATAAGCATAAAAAACGTTAAGGATTTGCTCGCTGCGATAAGCAAATTTTCACATTTTTCTTTGTTTGCCCTATATAGTGTGTAAATGCATAGGTCTATTTATAAATTGAGCGCAATTCTTTAAGTTTGTAAGACAATATTTTGCATTCAAACAATAAAACAATTATTGTGCAGATATTATTATCTTTCTTGATAACAGAAAATCTCCCTCTGTCAGTTCTTCAAAATGAAGAATTCTTTACGAGTTCAGTCAGACATTGATATGTTCTATGAAGGGTGCAATTTATAAAAAAAGAAATATAAATATAATTCCTTACAATAAGTTTTCCACGCACGTAACAAAAGTATTCTAAAATTAAACGTATCATTTTAATTTATATAAGGGATGTGACAGTTTATTTAAAAAAAAAGTTACTAGAAAAATATTGTTTCTACATTTAGAAATCCGCCATTTTTGTCACTTAAAAATTATTATTCGCTATAGAATTTTCAAAGTAGAAATAATCTAATTATTCTCTAACATCCCTAATTAATTTGAATTCGCGAACTAAAATTATATTTTCCTCTTTATGACAGAGGAAAATATTTTTCTAACAGTGAAAAGAAAATTTGTGTTTAATAGTTTATGAAGAGTAGATACAAGAATGTAGTAAGTAGGATATTACGTTCATTTAAATTCATACTAATATTATAAATGTGAAAGTTTGTGAGGATGGCTGGATGTTTGTTTGTTACACTTTCACGCCAGAACGACTGAACGGATCTAGATGAAATTTGGCATAGAGATAGATTATAGTCTGGAAATAACACATAGGCTACCTTTTATCCCAGAAAAATGTACAGTTCTCGTGGGATAGATTGGTTTTTGTATAGGGACGAACCTGATGCGAAGCGAGGGTGAGTCGCTAGGTATAATAAAAATGGAAACGGGCTAGCATTCATCAATAAATACTTCATTAATCGTCATCATTTTACTCAATATTTAGACATGTCATACTTCTACAACAGCAAAGTTTATACATATAAATCTCATACACTTTTAGACTTTTTCCTTTAATAACATTTTTTTACTCTTCAAACCTTATGAACTTAGCTGAAAAAATATAACTTTTATTAATTCTAAAATCGTTTAAGTATTTTAGTACGTGAATTCTCTCAAAGAAATATTCTTGAGACACAATAAAAATATTCCTGGGCCGGTCCAACACCATTTTATAATTTATCTGCAACAAAAAACGATATTGTTTCACAATAATTGTAATAACATTTCCTATCAACATTTTTGTAGTATTTTCCGCATAACAAAAGAAATTCTTTTCTTAAATGTAAATCGTTTGTCCCTTTTGGTAAGGAAACCTTTTAATTGCTAGGAAATTAAAGGGTACATATAATATCTTGACAATTGGAAAATAATCTTATAAGATTAATCAGAAGAGATTAAATAGCTTCTATATTAGGAGAGAAATATCCATAAAACTATTTTCCCTTTTCCATGGATAAATTAACGCATATACAAACCTTTTTTTTAAGAAAATTGCTGTCTTATCGTCTATATCGAAAAAAAAGCTTATTTCAATACTATTCTTTTAAATATATTTTAATGTACCCACGACTCCACGAGATAATAATAATGCTTGCTTGATCTATTTTGGTCAAGGCAGCCGGACTGACTTTCATAGTCAAGTCAACCGGTGGGACAATATGACACTCACGGTGAGTAATGGACGCAGTACCTACAAATTTACTTGTTTTCCGAGGTCTGGGGGGTGTAACTTTTCCCATTTTTCAGGTAATTAACCAACTAAACTTAGTTCGAACCGGGACTCAAATCAAGGACTTCAGATCTACAACCGTACATCCTAGCCAAAATACCACAGAGGCCACCAAAGTAACTGGGATAGTTAGATTAGACCATGTGAGTGATTCAAACATTTTGTTTTGGTTCAACCTTATAGGCTGCAGGTCGAAGGTTGTGGGTTGTAATCCCGAATAGGGAATATGCGTGTTTTTTTTTTAAATTTTTAACACAATAGCTAACGTCGATATATAATTGTAAAAAAGATATATAGTTCCAAAAAACTAAAAATTAGTATATTTTTAAATATACCGATCCGGATACTTTAAACTTAAATCACATAAAAAATATTGATATAGGCTTAATTGAAAAACACTAAAAATTATTAAAAAAATATATTTCACCTTTATTTAAATCACACGCATATTCCCTATTGTGTCGTAGTTGAGTGCGTAAGCGATCCTACGACGCCAAATTAAGACGAGGGAAGGTTTTAGTGGGTAGTACTGGCTTTGCCGGTGAGTCCCACGCCTCGTGATTCAATGCATTTCTCAACGTTAAAAAAAGGGTTCGGAAAGTGCTAGAAATGTTCGAGTACAAGACTCACACGGGCTCGGGGGCGGGGCTACGCGTGCGTTGCGCTGTCCTCTACGAAGTCGCGCGCCTCGTGTATGGAGACGCACTCGACGTGCGACACCTTGTTGCGGAACTTGACGCCGTAGAACTTGTGCGCGTGCTCGAGCAGCTCCGGCCGGAACGTGGTCGTGATGAACTGCGCCGACGCGGACAGCTCGTGGATCATGTTCGCGATCGCCTTGCGGTGCTGCGCGTCCAACGCCTGAAACATACATATTAATATTATAAATTTGAAAGTATGTTTGTCTATCCTTCTTTCACGTCGAAACAGATTGACGGATTGGCGTGATTTTTTGTGTAGGGAGGGCTGGAAAGTGACATAGGCTACTTTTTACCGGCGAAAGATTATCTCATTCCCACGGGAAAACACGTTATAATACAACCCAAAAAAATATTTATGATCAGAATTGCTTGAGACTTGGTGTAATGCTCTTCAGTACAATTAAATAAATACATGTTTTAGCATTTTTCGTAATTCATCCCATATGGGGGTAAAATATTGGATGACTTTTAGCGCGAGCAAAGCCGCGGGATCTGCTAGTTACATATATTGTATGCTTGGATAAGTACTAGATACACAATCAGCGACAAAAAATGTCCTCACCGAATGGGCGCTCATTTGAACACTTAGGCAGGTTTTTTTTGTGAAAACAACTTTAAGCATTGCGTTTAAGGTTCTATTGACATTGTTGTATATTTATTGCAACTAGAATAATTACCTAAACACAATGGGTGATAATTTTGAAAGAACTTTTACATGGCAATGTGTATCTAGTACTTTTTTGATCGATGGCTACATTACATATTACATTAAATAAAAAATAAATAAAATAAAACCCACTGATAGTTACTAAATCCAAATAAAAAGAAAATGATTCAATTCTGAGATTAGGTACTAAAATAAAAATTATTAGACAATACTTTTTAACTACTACCATCTGCTTCCCAGCTCTAGAAGAGCCAATATTCCTTATTCACCAAATCATATAATATTCAGACCTAAGCAGCACACTCGCCTGATCGATCTCGTCGAACAGATAGAAGGGCGCGGGGTCGCACTTCTGTATGGCGAATATGAGCGCGAGCGCCACCAGCGACTTCTGCCCGCCGGACAGCTGGTTCATCTCGCGCATGTCGCCGTCGCCGCCCGTGAACGACACCTTGATGCCCACGCCCGTGAACGGGTCCGCGTTGGGGCGCTGCGGTGGGCATACGGCAAAATCAATACTATTTATATGAGAGTAGAGTCCATTTTACTTTGACGTCATGTGCGATGGAAAAAAATAAATCAAAATATATAAAGTGCGTTTGGCAGATTAACTGTTTAATAACAGAACGACGCTTCTCTATTTGTGTCAAATCACTTCATCTATACATATAATAAAATTGTAACTGAACCGAATCTGTACATTAAATATTTTTTGGAAAATCTTATGGATATAGACATTATTATCGATACAGAGGCCGATTTTATAGTTGTCTGTGACACGCATCACGGAAAAACCACTGGAAGGATTTTGATGAAATTTGGTATGATGATAGCTGGTTATCTGGGTCAACATATAGGATATTTTTTACTGCGGGAAAATATCTCATCTCTGAGAAATCTATACTAAACGTTAAAACATGACTAGAGATGAACCCGAGCGGAACGAGAGTGAGTGGCTAGTTTGAAATATACATATAATTATAATATTATGAAAACTCTCAAACGGGCGGATTTTGCCGATCGGTAACTTTTTTATAGAATTCATATAAAAATAACTTGATAATACCTCAGGATTATTATCCTGTCCTTCGTCCGGCGCAACTCTCATTATGAGACTGCCCCTGCCCTGCGGCACCAGCTTTTTGAACACCTCGGTGAAGTTCTTACTCACTTGTTTGAAAGTGAACTGTATGGCTTCCAACTTCCTATGCTCTAGTGTCTCGATTAGTTCACGAATTTTTTCACCTCTGCAAAAAAAATATTGTAAAATTCACTTATAATGTCGACATGGCAGAGAAATAATTGTTACCTTGTATTAAGCGGACAGCACGCAAAACATAAAGGTTGCTATCCAAAAAAATATATATCATTACTAGCGATTCACCCTCGCTCCGCTCGGGTTCGTCTCTAGTGACAATTTAGGTTTGTATGTTACAAATGTTGTCCAAAAAATATAATATTTTTTTGGAGTGGACCACCTTTATCACTTACGAGTATGAATAATAGTTTATGTCCTATTTTTACATCTACTGAATATACACACAAAATTTCATAAGAATCGGTAAAGCCATTTCGGAGGAGTTTTGTTACAAAGACGCGAGAATTTTATATATTCAGACTTTTTATTTTTCTTTCACGTAATACCTAATAATGAATGGTTATTTTGGAATAATTGACAACAACATGCAGAACCACAAATGAAAAAATATTTCTAGACTCTAGGCATTACGCGAAAGTGTGAGAAAATTAATAAATAATACATGTTGGTCATTATGAGCAATACAATTAAAACTTAGAGTTTTTTACTTTGAACTTGAGAGTTTGTATGAAAACCCACACTACGATAACGTCAAATGAAAAGTCATTAAAATTTAGAGGTCGTAAGGGTGTAAAGACTTAGTTTTCTTTTATTTTATTATTTAGTTATTTATTTCCTTTGTTTTATGTCTATAACTAGTATATGGCATAAATAAAGTTTTGATATTGTATTTTGTTCTAAATATATCAAAAAATAATAATACTTTACTATTGAGTTATTACTTATTTTAAATTACATTTCAGTATACTATACATGAGATAAACTGATATTTTTAGATCACTAATTCAAAATTTATTGCAATTTTTGTAACTACATTAATAAAATAAAGAAAAACACTAAAAAAAATATACCTAGTATTGACAAAAACTCCTAATGTTTAACTATAAGAGGCAAAAATATGTCAAGTTCGAGTGTCGTTAAATAATTGAGAACGTAAGCATAGCGCGATACACTAATTGCAATACCAATATTCGTAGCATAAATACACTTACCAAAGTCTAAAACACCATTATTTTAAATAAAAACCACAATGTACTACAAGCTAGCGATCTATCTGTTTTGTTTGCCAACATTTTGTGCAAGCTTCGAATATTTTAGTTTTAAAAGTGTAAATAATATAATCGATGGCATAAAAGAGATTGTTTATTCGAAACAGAATAACGCCACAAATTCAGAAGTGGACGACAGTGATTTAAATATAACAGAATTAGCAAGAAAATACAAGTACGAGATCGAAGAGCATTCTGTTACAACAGAAGATGGCTATATTCTGAACATACATAGAATACCAGCAAAAGGTGTAAGAAATAATAATAGAACAATATTTCTTATGCACGGTGTTCTAGATTCTTCGGATAGCTGGGTTTTGCAAGGGCCAAGAAATGCTTTATCTTATATTTTAGCGGATAAAGGATACGATATATGGATGGGCAATGCGAGAGGCAACAAATACTCTCATTTACATACAAAATTGAATAAAGACCAAACGGACTATTGGAAATTCAGTTGGGACGAAATCGGCGTATACGATTTACCCGCCATGATAGATTACATATTAAATGCAACTGGTAAAAGCAGTATATATTACGTCGGTCACTCTCAGGGTACTACTGCATTTTTCGTCATGGCGTCATTAAAGCCGGAATACAATGGAAAAATTAAAATGATGTTCGCATTATCGCCTGTCGCTTGGTTGAGTCATGCAAAGAGCCCTATAGTGAAAGTCTTGGCTAATTTGAACTATCTCTTAAACATTAACGCGTACACATTAAGTACTGAATCTTTTAGTAAGCTGGAAAAATATGTATGTGGTATAATAGTGAGATGTGATAATATATTACAGTATATAATCGGTAACGATTATAAATTGATTAATTCATCTTTATTGCCAATTATTAGCAAACATTTTCCAAGTACGTCGTCCATTTTACAATTCGTCCATTACGGCCAGTTGTATCTCACTGGAGACTTTTGCCGTTTCGATTTTGGTCCGAGTGAGAATTTAGACAGATACGGACTTGAAGTGCCGCCATCGTATAATTTGAGGAATATAACTGTTCCCGTAGTTTTGTTTTATAGTGACAATGATTGGCTATCTGATGTGGAAGATGTTTCGATTTTATATAACAAATTGTCCAATGTATACAATCTGTACAATTTGCAAAAGTTTAATCACTTCGATTTTATGTACGCGAGTGTGGCAAAATATGCCATATACGAGAATATTGTTAGAGAAATAACTGAATTTGAGTCTGATGAGGAATAAGGTATTTTTTTGTTTTTATAAAACATAAATATTATGTGATGTTAAAATAAATATTTGTTTCATATTCTTTCTTCAGTTTCTTCAATACGTCACAATTTATGATTAAAAAAAAAACAAAATAAAATTAAATAAAACAATACAATATTTAGATTTTATATACCAGTACTTGTAAATACAAAAATATAACTTGAAAAAAAAATTAAAATTCGAAAAAAAAAACAACAAAAAATCACATACAAAGCAAAATATTAATATTACATTTAAACACAATATCCATTGACTTACCCAATATCGAGTTCCTCTTTCCGCTTGTACAATTTCTCCTTTTGCTCCGAGAAACTTATGAACTGATCGAGCGCCTTCTTGTTCACGTGGTTGTATTTTTTCAGGTGTTGATTAGCCTTTTCCAGCTCTTTAAATAACTGGCAATAAATAATATTGTATTATATAAATAAGAAATTATAATAGATAGAATTATATGAATCGAACTAGTTAATAATGTAGCATATTTATTATAATTAACTTAATATAAAATATAAACATAAATAAATTAATTAATTAATAATTTCATACACTAATATAGATAGTATTTAAGGTTAAATTATTTTATTACTAACAAATATGGATGTAATATCTTGAATTAAAATTATTATTATTTAATATTATTAAATATAAATAATAATAGTATTGAAAATACCATTTTAATTTACTGTAATGTGCAAGACTAATCAAGAAAGATAGAAAGAAAAGAAAATAACCAAATGAGTCTAAATTAAAGAGTTTAACTATTTTGTTGATTGATTTATTGTTAGTTAAGATGATATCGAAATATTGTATTGTCATCCAGATTGAATATTCTTACAAGTACGTTAAGTCTCACAATGATAAGTCGGTCAAAATCTATACAGATAATAAAATTGTAACTAAGCCGAATCTGTACATTAAATATTTTTTGGAAATTTTTATTGAAATAAACATTATTATCGATAGAGGCCGAATCTATAGTTTTTAGAATTTTTGTTTGTCTGACAGAAAAACCACTGGAGGGATTTTGATGAAATTTGGTATGGTGATAGCAGCTTATCCGTGTCAAAATATAGGATACTTTTTACCGCGGGAAAATATCTCTTTTCTGAGAAAAAATACAAAAACTGCAATGTAAGACTATACTAATATTTAAAACCTAAGAACTACTTTTTGGCCATCTGAACGCGGGCGAAGCCGCGGGCAATGCTAGTTAAATATAAAATTGAACTGAACAACTAAATTATGTGTACCCCGTGAAATATTACTTCTTGCAAAATATATTCTGACTCAATAGGTTAACAATAAACACAAATCACAAATAAAAGCTAATAATAAATAATAGCAACACACCTGTTTCAAGGAAAGTTTCTGATACTTGGAATGAAGTTCAGGCGCATTCGGCAGAGTACCGAGCGCGGCTATTTTGTCGAGGGACTCTTGTATCTTCTCTTGCAATAATACTTCTTTGGACGCCATCTTCTCTAGGCCCTTTGCGTCTTCCTCCATTTTGTCTTGGGCTTCTTTCTCCTAAATAAAGAATTGTACAAAATATTTTTAATAATGTGTAATTATGAATAAATTAGGAATTTTGAGATATATATTATTTGATTGAACTAAGTTTGTTATTTGTGTGAAAGACAGTAAAACAAAAGATAATTTTTAACACATTAAAAATGTTGCGTTCACATACATTCTAGACAGCGTGCATCTGCCTTTTTTAATTCACTTCAAAAAATATTTGTTAAACGAATTTACTACACACCTAGAGAAAAATATATAAATTAAAAAACAACAACAAAATTAAGACACATTAGACATATTAAGATATATTATTGACATAGATCATATAATAAATACTACTAGTATTGATGCCTGATCCAATACAAAGAATTTGGACGGAGCTAATTCGGGCTATTTTTGTTTGCTTGAATAGATAATAGATGTCATTGATTGGTAAATAGTTAAACTGTTTTACTTTATAAATACGTGCAACCTAACGTATGGTAAATATTGTAAAATTCATTCTTAATTCGAATAAAAAAAAATCAGTTTAATTCAAAGAAAACAAAATCAAATAAAACAATTCATAAAAAGTAAGAGCACCATTTGTGAAGATACACTACAAACCCACCGTCTGTTTGCTGATACTGCAATAATCAGTAAGATTACACAAATTTGATTTACGGATGCATTATTATTTTTCTCATCACTTAAGAATATTTTTTTAAAACAAAAAAAACTTTTTGGGGTCAATTTTTTTTATCTTTTGTTAATTTAACACAACTTTATTAACAAATCGATACATACAAAACACCATCTATGAACATTGTTTTAATAATTTATTTTGTTCGTGATGAGACCCCGTGACAATATGAAAATAGGTTATATAGTATACGCCAATAGACCATGTCATATAGTGAGTAAGAGTATAAAATGAGTAATCGAGTGACCTTATTCCGCCACTTGTCCAGCTCCAGCTTGAGAGCCTTCTCGTTCCTGACTGCCGCCTGCACTTTGCGCTCGACGTCCTCCATCTCCTTGTTGATGGCGCGGATTCGCTTCTCGGCTGCGGCAAGGTCGCTTTTGCTGTTGGCGAGGCGCCGCTTGCGGTCCTCCACCGATATCTCCTGCAGCGCCTGCACTAGCTCGTCTTTGCGACTGTATTTATAATACGTTCGGAGTTATAAACCTTATTATAAAGTGTTATATCATGTACCAGCGAGTCATCCTAGCTTCTCTCTGGTTCGTCCCTAGGTACGTTTTAACGGTTAGCGTGGAATAGATAGACTACATACTCGTATAATATATTGTATAGGTATAGAGAAGTAGTACTTAAAAAAAGTATATTATCCCTTACTTGAGAAATGATTGATTCATCCCCGCTACCCTCCCTTAAGGGATGATTTCCAGAATAAAAATCCTATGTCCTTCCCAGGGTCTCAAATTATCACTTAAATGGGGATGAAAGTTGGTATGGGAATTCAAGCTAGGGTCGAACCCTAGCGAAGCGAAGGTGAGTCTCTAGTTAATTAATATTTTGAACTCACAAAGACACTATATTTTAAAAACATTAGACAAAAAAGTTACCGTATAAGATTATTGGTCAACAGATTCTCCAGCTTATTCTTCGTTGCCTCCAAGTTCATTCTCTGACTGAAGGCTTCTTTGTTCTCTTGCGTGAGACGTCTTATCGCGTCATTGAGCTCGTCCACTTTACCCTGATCCGCGGTTGACAGCTGCTCCATTAGTTCCTGTCATACAATATATTATTTTTTATTAATAAACTAAACAATAAACATAAATTTTTATATAAACATTCTAAATTCTGAATGAAAATACTTGTTCAATGCCTTGGATAAAATGTTCAATATTAAACAATCTAAAACATGAATACCACAACCATGCCATACCGTATTATACAAGCCATATTATAAATACTACAATATAATACCGGATATCCAGATGAATACCTGATCCAAGGCAGTGGTAGCCCAGTGGTAACGCGCTCACTTGGGAAACCGAGTGAAGCAGGTTCAAATCCCGGGTCTCGCATCTCTGATATAATATGAGAATCATTTCCAACATGATAGTCGTTTGTATTAACGGTGAAGGAAAACATCGTGAGGAAACCTGCATGTCCGAGAGAAGTTAACAAGTTTTCGAAAGACATGCTCAGTCCGCCCGAACTTGAACAGCGTGGTGGACTATGGCCTAACCCCCCTCATATAGAACACAGACCCGTGCCCAGCAGCGGGGCGTTAAAAAGAGCTGAATAACTGCATGATATCTGATGCAACTTCGTCTACATTAGACCTCAGACCCGCTGTATGAAGACCACCTCTGCCTTGATCAGATTTGAACTCACTACACTTGGTTTTCCATTTAAGGGTTATCACAGGCTATAACAACTAACACAATACCTGATGCAACTCCGACTCCAAGCCCTCCTTGGTGGCCTGCATGGCCTCGAGGCTAGAGCGACACTGCGCCAAAGACCGCTCCTTCGGGCCTCGGAACCTCTCTATGGAGGCCAACTCTTCTTTCATCAACCGAATGTCTGCCTTCACTTTGTCGAATATATCCCTGGTTATTTATGTATTGTTAAATTAATTTTACCGAAATATTGTACATTGTACAATTAAGGATTAGTACTCGGGCGAACGAGCTTCGCTCGGAGTTTTTGGTCAAAAGTACAATTTTCTTTTTTTTTTTAAACTAAAAACTTGAATAAATACAAAAAAAAAACAAATTAAAACACTTTGTATCCGACCGGGATTCGAACCCACCTGTGATTGTCAATCTTGCGCCTTGGCCGCTTGGCCACGATGCTTATGCCCGAGCGTGCGAAATTAGCGACCATATTTGGCGTGCGAAACAAAACCACATGAAAACTCGAAAACACGCGTTGTCCCAAACATAAAACTAATCTAGATCGATTTTAAGCCCCCGAATACCCCCACGTACCAAATTCCAGCGAAATCGTTAGAGCCGTTTCCAAGATCGCCGTTATAAATAAACAAATATTAATAAATATATATATATATTTTATGTCTTCTCTTTTATGTTACTGCAACCTTTTTTTTTCAGCTTATCACCGTCCACTGCTGAAGGAAAGCCTCCCCCAGTATGAACATAAACATTTATAGTGACTAAAATATATAATTACAACTTCCAAATGAAATATCACTATATTAAAATTAATTATGTGATTGAAATGCGAAGGACCGTTAACTACCAATATTTATATTTTCAGTCTATAGTTGCGTAGATGGCATAGACAAACATGATATTTTAAACAATACCATAAATAAGCAATATATTCATAAATCCTGTCGTTTTGTATCCCAATTACAATACCTATTACAATGAATAAAAAAATTACATATAAATATGCTCACTTAGCCTTCCCCTGTTTGGTTTCAGTCCTCTGCATCTCAGAGACTATAGTGTTAATGCTTGTTTCAGTTTTATTTAATTCCTGGCGCAAAGTACTCAATTCCCCATCTAGAGTAGTGATTTGTTCCATCAATTCCGATCTAGTCTTTTGCATTTCAAGACGAGAACGCGATTGGTTGAAGTAACCACCAGTTAGAGAACCTTTTGATGACACCTAAAATAAAATTTTAGACACATTTTGTAGTGTTAGCTAGAACTAAAACATCGTCAGAACGACTGAACGGATCTGGGTGAAGTTTGGCACAGAGATAGATTATAATTTATAGTCTGGAATAGCACATAGGCTACTTTTTATCTATTTTATTATTTATTTCGTTTTTAACTAAAGACGAACTTTTCTTTTCGGATTTCTTCGCAGATTTATTTTGACTCTCTCCCGTGACCATGATTGCTGTAAAGCATTCGAAACGTCGGGAACCATAAATCAAAATATATCCGCGAAAAAATCCGATAAGATAACTTTTATTTAAAATGACAAATATTCGCATAAATCTAAGAAAGTATAATCTAATATAACATTATTGTAAGGGCAATATTTAATATTTAAGCCTAGCATTACATACTTGATCTCCTTCCAGGGTGACACAATCCAAGTGGAACTGCTTGCCCAGTTCCGTAGCGCACTCTAAATTTCTGCAGATGAGGGTTTTGCCGAATATATATTTCATTGCTTTTGCGTATTTCGGATCGTATTTTAATTTCTGTACCATAGCTATTGCATTCTGGAAAAGATATAATATTATATGTATATAAAAATATAACAATTGCTTCGCTAGACTAGTGCCTGGCATGTACGGCCTCAGATCAGGTGGTCCTTGGTTCAAATCCCGGTTCGGGCCAAGTTCAGTTATTGATTATTTTAGTCAAAAAGTAATCAGTAACAGTGAGGTTAGGAAGTTAGCGATGTCTCACGCACCACGGACTATTAAAAAAAAAGTAAAGCCCATATTATTACTTTTTTAGATAACTGTTTCTTAATCTATACATATAATAAAATTCTTAGTCATATCTGTACATTAAATATTTTTGGGAAAAATCTTATTGTTTCAACTTCATACTTACATTGTCATTGGGATACAACATATCCCTAACTTGAAGTCGATTGAGAGGCATAAAAGTTACCTCCCCAGGAAGATTTTGTCGGTTCATTTCCTTTAAGATTTTTGTACCAACTGTATCAGACTCAACAATGTGATGAAACAGACGATTACCAGCTGTCACCTGAGAATTTCAAAATAAGTTTTACTAAACAAATACAAGAAAAATATATAAGTTTTCACATATTATGTATTTAAAAAAAACCTATACAATTCTTATTATTTTTTATATTAATTATTTTCTTAAGTTTGTATAACCACAATGAAAACCAATTAGCATTGGCATTCTTAATTTGTAGTAAATTCAATGAAGTCTTCAATAATGTAAAAAAGTATCAACATCGAAATAATGTTGATATTTTGTAAAGATAGGATTACACTGCCTATTTTTAGGTCCAGGAAATTATTTTCCTTATAAGTTATTATATGATTTTAAATACCTCAACTGCTGTATAAATGGTTTTATCGCAAGTAAAGTTCTCAATGACGGGTCCGTAGTACTGCGTCGCTATTTTGGCCCACTCTCCCCCGCGTTCTTGGAATGTTTCTAGAACTTTACGTACACTGTCCCTTCCATTTAAAATTGGCTGCGAAAATGAATTAAATATATCAATATAAATAATATATATTTATCTACTAAATGTATTGATACAGATACATATTTGTCTATAGTAAGTTAATTAACTACTCTTTGTAGATTTCACATGTCCTTCAGTAAGTTTTTGCAAACCTAATGTGCAATGGAAATGACTTGTTATATCAGGATATAAAATAAAATATGTTACTCTTTACTTCTTAAACTGTATTTCAATTGGAGTTGTTGTAATATTTTTGTAAAGTGTTCATGTGAATATGAGTCTTCTTTATAAAGTGATAACAACTAAAATAGATACAATACCTTTCCGGCCATGGAACGTAAAGCTTGGTCAGCTTTAGCCAAATCCTCTTTTAATGAAGATAAATTTTGAGTTAAAGTTGTTTCTTTGCGCCATAACTCGCTGAAATAATAATATAATTATTGCCAAGTATATTTAATGGGATAATAAAAGACTTAAGACCATTTTCGTTTATTGAAATGGTATATACAATTAAATATCGTTTTTGATTGGGATTGAAGATTGGGAATATGGCTATAGTTCTGTTATATGTAGAATTGTCACTCTACTCATAATTAGAATATAACAAAAATTGAAATAACGCTGATACCTAAAAATATAATATTTTTAATCGATTTCGAATTATAATATTTTGAATAATATTTTGAAAGTCATAATACTTTTTAAGATTATTGCGAATATTTGACATTTTAAATAAAACTATCACCAGATTTTTCCACAAATTATTTTGATTTTTTTAGTTTTTTGGACGACGAGACGTTTCAATGCTTTACAGCAAATATGGTCACAAAAAAGCCTATCTCTCTAAAAAAAAACGAAAAGATAATTTTATTTAATTTTGTACTCACTTTCTAGCACTTTGCTCTTGATCCTTTCGTTTTTTGCACTCATAGTACTGTTTGTTGTGTTCGTCGATGGCGACTCTTTGTCTTTCCATTTCCTTCGTCATTTCTTCTATACGTTTTTCTAATTCGGTCAACTTGACAGCGTCACGTCTTAAATCCTCACGTAATTTCCCTTCGTGTTCTTTTTTATCTTTAATTTGCTTGCTTAGCGATCTACAAAAAAAAAGTATAATATATATCTATATCTATATATCTATTTTTTGAAATAATAATTGTATAAATAATGATTTTGATTGTTTTTCATAATTTAATACATATCTATCCCGACAAAATTTGAAATAAATGTTAAATACTCACTTAAGTTCCCTCTCAATCCATCTGTCCCTATCTTGTTTAGAGGTGAACTGAGTACCGCGACCTTGTTTAGCGTATAACTCTTGACGTTTCTGTTGGTTCAAAGCCAATGCTCTGGTACATTCTTCTTCACGGGCTTTCATTTCTTCATATTTGGGCTTTAATTCTTCTAATTCACGTTCTTTCTCTGATATTTGCTGTCTTAAACGCTCTAATTCTGCTTCGGCTCTTTCCTAGAAAAGAAATACATTTAAAAAATCTTAGAAATTACAAATTATGTTTTATAAAAATATTTTTTAATTCCTTTAGTAAATATTTGGCACGCAATGTACTAGTACGGATTTAAATATAATACGAAATAAAGTTTTTTTTATATAGATAAGGATGTTAAATTATATATACTTAATTTTCACAGACTTCAAAAAAACATTATTGGGGGTGTGTTTTTGTGTTTTGTTATGCGTTATTATATCTCATATGAGGCCACTCTGGTCTCATATAAATTTAAAGAAAAACAGTTTTGAAGTAATTTTGAAGTTGGTATGATTACACTCTTTTATCCATACTAAATACTAATACTATAAATGTGAAAGTTTGTGAGTATGGATGTTTGTTACTCTTTCTCGCCAGAACGGCTGAACGGATCTGGATGAAATTTGGCACAGAGATAGATTATAGTCTGGAATAACCCAGGCAGGCTACTTTTTATCCCGGAAAAATATACGGATCCCGTGGGATAGGTTTATATCTGTTTTCCTTATCTATACCTTAGATTTATTGTCTCCATCCACATCATCAGTAAGATCTTTAATGGCCAGTTCCAGTTTAGTCTTCTCTCTTAACAGCTGTTGTTGTTCTGTAGACAGTATATCTTTCTCCTCACGCGCGGCCGCCACATCTTTACGTGCTTCTTTAAGTTTTCTGTAATATTTCATGAAAAAAATGAATAATGTATTTATCTAGTTAGACAAAAAGAAACACAGCTCAAATAAATACTTTATTAGATTTACGCGAATTTTCATATTATTATATTATTACGATGACGACATGTTTGGCTCAGTTTGTAGTGTCACTTGCTGTGCCAGCAGCGTGTTCTAGCCCCACTGGCAGAATTCATTAGTGTGATGAGCACGAATGTTTGTACTCCAGTAATGGGTGTTTATATTTATAATATGTATATATTTAAAGTTATATATGTGTATCTGGTACCATATCACAAACCTCGTAGCTTACTATGGAACCAGATGATGCTGTGTGTTAATGTCCCAACATATTTATTTGATGTTTTAAATAAAACGTCGGGAATCAAAAATCAAAATAAACCCGGGAAAAAACACGAAATGACAACTGTATTTAAAAAGTTCAAATAAATTTCAATAGGTGTGGCAGAATTAATATGATAGATGAAGTAGAAAAGATTATATTATACATATATTTTTATAAAAAATTACAATGTGTCTTTAAATATCATACTAATAATTTTAAGAGGTAAAATTTCTAAGTTTGTGAGTTTGTTTGTAAGAAGTAATCTCTGAAACTACTGAACCGATTTAGATTAAATTTGGAAAGAACAAAGTTTGAGGCCCTGGGAAGGACATAGGACAGTTTTTATTCAGAAATCATCCCTTAAAAAATGGGAATAAAATTTTGTATGGGGAATCTATGACTCGCTAGCCCGACAATAAATAAAATTGGTCTATTTCATTAGTATGAAGAAATGACAGAAGCCCATATATTTTATTACCTACCTGTTAGACTCCCTCACATGGTCCTGGGCCTCGCGGACCATATCTGCATAATGTTGCTGTTCTTTGCCACTGTTAGTTCTCATTTTTTCTAACTGTAAAAAAACAATATCACAATGTTACTATATAAAAAAGACAACCACAAAATAGGCGCATATTCGTCTAGTTACGGAAACCAGCCCGAACATACCATACCATACTATATAAAAGAAAAACGTGTGCGTCTCGGGACGCCCGACAGAAGTGATAACTTAAACTAATCCAAGTTGAACTAAGTATTTAATATTGAAATTGTTTATCTTGAGAAAAGCTTAGGTTATTACTTAAATTTTATGTATATTAATATGATAATGTAAGGAAAGGTTATTTATTAATAAAATCTTTTATTGATTATAAAATATATTTTATTCTATATACATATATATGGCTACCGCTGTGGGTTAGAGGGAGAGAGGAGGAGAGTACCTGCCGCAGCCGTATGCGTAGAGAAAAGGAAGCCAGACAAATTGGCACCGTACGTAACGTGTATAACGAATAACAACGTTATATAACGAAGGCGTTTACACTCCCATAACAAGTTATCACTTCAAAAATATATACAGCTAGCGACTTATTCTCGAGTCTCATCTATTCGGTTGTCATTAGGTAAATAAGTAGCCTATGTATTACTCCAGGTCATAATATATCTCCCGGGGGAGAAGCCAACTCCTACCGGGCGCGTCCCCAGGTGGCGGATAGGGGCATGCCACCCGCTTAGAGGGGCGGGTGGTACCGGAGAAATCCGGCGCGGACCAAATGGCTTGGATGGGGCCGCTCGTCTAGGCCTCGAGCCGAAGACGTTGCGGCCACCGGTGGTGGGACCGCTTGGTCCCACAACCGGATGATGGGTGCCGATTGCGGGACTGTGGTCGCAGGCCCGCATTCGGCGGAGGGGTAGGCCGCGGCGGGAGAGGAGTGCCGGTATTTCGGTGCGCCGTTCTCCCTACCTTCCGCGGCCTAGACGGGGCCGCCACCGTTTGATGGCGGACGCGGTGGGGCTGCAGGGGAAGAGGAGTGTCGGTGTTTCGTTGCCGCTCTCCCTGTCCTCTGCAGCCGATTGGAGGTGGCCCACTTCGGTAGGCGGTGTTTGTGTGGTGTGGGGCTGCTCCGGGTACTTCTCTGATCAGCAGAGTGGACTTAGGAGCGGCCTCACTTTTTGGGTTGTAAGTCTTCCCATAATGGGGTTGTCCCGCTTGGGGCGGCCTCATGGTTGGTGGCTTCGGCCAACCGTCGGGGCGTCGCGGTTGTATGCGAGAGCTATCCCGTGGCGCCCCACATGGCGGCAGAGGGGGAAAGTTGGGTTTTAGTGGGTATGCCGGTCTCATTAGCCGGAGAGTCTCCACATAACCACCCCGGGGGAAGTCGGGTGGTATCCGTAATAGGATTTCCCAACTATAAAAAAAAAAAAAAAAAAAAAAAAAAAAAAAAAAAAAAAAAAAAAAAAAGGTCATAATATATCTGTATATGAAATTATAACCAAATCCGTATAGTCATTTTTTCAGCGTGAAGTAAAAACTAACAAACACAAACACACACACACACACACACGCACACACGCACACGCACACACGCACACTCACACACACACGCACACGCACACACAAACTTTCATATTTATAGTAATCCTGTAATAATTGCGAAAGTTTGAATGGATGGATATTTATTACTCAATCTGGCCAGAACGGCTGAACGAATCTCAATGAAATATGGCACAGTGATAGATTTTATGAAATAGCACATAGGTTACTTTTTCTTCCCCAAAAAATGTTCGGTTCCCGAGGGATAGATTTGTTTTTATTTTTTACCGAGTCTATAATAGTTTAGTAATAGTAAGAATACATACTTCTTCTAATTTTCGCTTGTTCTCTCTGTGCTCAGTATCGTGTATAATAAACTCCAGCACGCGTCTCGCGCGGTCCCACTTCTGATACTCTTTCAGTTCTTCTTTTTCTTCTTCTAGAGTTTTTAATCTTTCTTCTATTGTTTGTAGAAAGTCATTTATTTTTTCCACCTAAAACAGTAACCAAATATTTTTTATGGCCAGTTACATATAGGTTACTTGTATGAATCCAAAATATTAAAAAAATATGAGAATTTCACTTACTTTACCAACTGTTTCTTTTAATATAGTAACAGACTCTTCTCTTCTCTCGTCATAAACTCTTGTTCCAGCCACTTCTCTAAGAAGCGTCAATCTGTGTGAATCTGGAGCTACTGCCATTTGGTTGATCTGTGGAAACAAGAACAAATTAACAAATAGACTCTTTATTTTACACCAAGCAAAAAGAAATAAATGTGTAAAAGATAGATAATGTACAAAAGTTGGCCTTAACAATAATAAAGCAAACTCTTTCAGACAACCTTTATATGTAGTATATAGCAAACTGAAATAAACTAACATAAATTTTTGTGAATATCCAGGAAATAATAATTCTAACTCTAACTGAAAAAATATATATTTCTGTTAAGCAATCACGTTGATTATGTTGGTAGTATTGTTGTAGTATACAATATGTATTAAATATGTTTATATATTGTATTAATTTTTGTTTTATTTACGCTTTCATACTGTCCCACTTTTTGACACTATTTTCCACATACATGGGTTGACTGGAAGAGATCTCTTATAGAGATAAGTCCACCTTTGTTCATGTCTCTTTCTGTGTATTTTGTTTTTACAATAAAGAATATATGTATACATATAAGCTCTATTCTGAATATCATTTAAATTCTTCAATCTGTTACACTGTAAAGCATACAAATATATCCTTTCCTCACAAACCATGACATTAAAATACATAAATATTTTACTTTACCATAAAAATATCAGTATTAAACTAAAATGTCAGTGTACCCATATTTCATACATTATTAAAAACATGATAAAATAACTTACTTTTCCTTGTTTTACAATGTAGTATGGATTTGAATTAGAAAGGCCTGCACTCTCCAGTAGATTAAGGACCTCAGATCTTGGTACCACTTTCTTATTGAGGAAAAATTGATCTTTCTTTGATCCAATAACACGGCGCAAGAATATCTCATCTTTTTCAATCTAAGAAATAATTATGTTCTTGAAATGATTACTAATTAGATACAGTATTTCTTTGCGCATTGTTTATAAATAAATATGTTTTGCTCAAAATATCAATAAATTATATAATGTCCACCGTTTAATCATTATTATTGCAAAGAATGAGTAAATAAGCTAAGTGTATTAACACCTCCAGGTAAATTTCTAAGAAATTAATTAAAATTCTAAGAAATCTATTGTTAACTGACAAGCTGGTGTGTCCGCGGACATGGACGGTTTAAGATTCTCACTTTAAATAAAATGACTACATTATTAATAATCAATCAGAACTGAAATTATATTGACAAGCATAAACAGTTACATTGAATAACATATTACAACAATATCAGTAAAGGTAGCTATGTTATTACAAGAAACAATACTTACCGGAATTCTATTGTCAGAATTGTCAAAAATAATTTCTACAAAAGCAGATATCACCCTAGGTCCAGTACCTTCATGTAATAATGCCAGACGTTGTTCTGGCCTGAGATGTGAAAACTCATCACTTAATACAAACTGAATAGCTAAAATAAAATAGTAACAATTTACATAACTTCATGTAGAGTTTATTAGACTAGTTCTCTATATTTGAAATAAAATTATGAAATAAAATGAAACAAAATTGAAGCCAAAATATATATTACTATACAAAGATAGTATAACTTGTTTAAAGAGTAAATTAGGACATTGTTTTATGTTGATAGTTATTACTCTTCTTGTAAATAAACTCACCATGAAAGAAATTACTTTTTCCAGAACCATTGCGTCCAACTACTACATTATGCCGTTTATCAAAGGGTTCTACAACGATTTGTTCACGATAACTCTTAAATCCCTGAATGATCACCTACAAACAAAAACAACATCACTTGTCATCCATACAGGTCATTATAAAGGATTTGAAAATTATATGACTTAAACAATAAGCAATTCTAAACGAAGTTTAATGCTTTTTAGTACCTGTTTTATATGCATTTTAGTGCCTTCAAATTATGGAAAGTTAACTCAAAAATTTAAGCGAAGCATTCGCCGCCATTTCTTATTTGACACTTGAATGGAAACATCAAATGAAAACGTCTCAAGCAAACATTAGGTACAGATAAAAAATTAAGAAACGCGGGATTTCATCTTCGATGTGGTATAAGCTCCTTATAAATCTGTGGTCTAATTTTATTCACTATTTACAGTTTCTTTTTTAAAAATATATTAAAAACAAAAATTGTAGCTTATTGGGAAAGATTTCTAGAAAGTAGGGCGCCACATGTATCGCCTATTTACATTCAGTCTGTTAAGCAATTTATTAAGGTATCTCTTTTGTACCTGGTTTTTTGCTTCTAATGTATTCGCATATTACGCACAGATTAAGGAGACTACACGTGTGCAATATATTGTACGTGGAAGTTAGACTAGCTGAAGAAAGAATTGAGAAGGAAAAGTGAATCCTGTGGTGGTCCTGACTAACTGAAGGATCAACACAGCATAAACCATTGATCATGATATACTTACAACGTAGGCATTCGATAAAAAAGATTTTTTTCAAAATTCGTCCCCTAAATGTCTAAAACAGGGATTAAACATTGTATGAAACTGAATAGATAATTACTTATAATATGATATATACGTCAAAAATTCAGTTCTCTGGGTTTTATTATTATGGATTCCTAAAGGTCTTGTGGATTTGGATAGGACACTCCCTCAAACGTCTTAAATTTTTCCTTCAAGTTTTCTAAGCGGTTTTATATATAATATTAGATTGCTTAGATATAAGCAAAATATTATGCGCACTCCTCTGTGATAGACTCATTAGTCTATCTATAGTACATCGCTTAAAACCAAATTAAAACAGCATTTTTCTTCTTACATAAGCTGTGTAGGTATTTAATAACCATCAAATCAATGTCGTAGTTGTTTCTATCGTCACATAATATTTATGTATGAAATAGATATTTACTCGTATGTATTCGTACTTGTGCACTGTGCTTAGATGTATTACGTTACATAATATATTTCTTAATGTTTACTGCATTATTGTGGTCCATTTTACTACTTCTCACTTCCGTAGGTTCTAACTTTTCACAGCTTTTTTTATTTAAGTTTACTACTATATATTGAATTCTAAATGTATTTGTAAGTAAGTAGTATTATTAGGGAATCACCTAAAATAAATTTAACGAGAAAAATCGTAATCTTTATTGTTTTGTGAAGCACGAGGTGTTAAATGATATTGATCTCATCGTCCGGAAACCAACATTTTCCGTATACTTTTCTGCGTATAATAGTATTTGTCTAATATAATAATATACTTTGTGTGAATTTCCAAATATTATTTAGCACAAATTATATTAGGTGTGTAAATTTGTTTATTGTCCTAATATTCTAGATACTTGGCAATATTCGGAATTATAAAACAGCTAGGTTGGAATTACGCACTTAAACAATTTTATATATATGTTCACGTTACGTGTATTTATGCCTACGTAACATTGCTCAGTCAGGAACTTAAAAGAAGAGTCAATATTTAAAAAAAATTATTAGTTCATAAATATTAAATATTATTAATTCTCAACCCTGTCAGGGTTCATGTTGTCCTCACCGAATTTGTGTTTTTGTCGTGGTAAGTGGATTAAATAGCGTCCAACGTCTAGACTCTAGCCGGGCGTGAAGCTTAGAGTCGCACTGGGAGGCAGTCTTCTTTTTCTTTTGAGATTTAATAAAAATTAAGTTATTGTTTCATAAAGACTTCCTTTTTCAGTATTAAATAAAAATATATGAGATAAGTCAAATAGATACTTTAATATAATGTATTATTACATAAACAATGTATGTATATATTAATAATTAAATGCTAATATTATCTATCACTAAGAGAACTGTAGGTAAGTGAACGAATTAGTGACCATTCAACTTTGTTAAGGATATGTGATACTGTAACATACATATTATTGTAACTTATGTACCTTAATATTGTGATGTAACATAAATTTCCGTGCCTTTTTCACGCAAAGAGACTAATGCGTAAATTCTATTAAACAGTGTAGCAACTACCGACATCCGAAAAAACTGTATTTTTTGTTTGGAATTCATAAAACATGTACCTAATTAATACATTGACTTGTGAGTGGTACCACTTAAATTTTGAAAAGAAATAAAGAAGCGTGCGTTAAAAACCCAAAGATATAAACCTATGATCCTATCGGACTATCATTTTGTATTCTGTCCGCATGTAATAGGCCCGCGAACACACGCAAAATAGGCGCACAGATGTCGAATTGCGGAAACAAGCCCGAATACGAGTATACCATACCGTACCATACTATAGGCCCGCGAAGCCTCAAATTAAACACCGTAAGCAATGGGTATTAGTTATTACTGTACTATAAAAACATTCGTCTATCTTATACTGATATACATAATGAATACTAATATAAATATTTATATCCACGGCCGGATTTAACCTTAGCGCCGCCCCTGAGCATAGTAAAAAATCTCGCCCTATTATCGAAATTTTGCATTAAATGGGTAAAGTTTTGATAAAGTTTGATCTTTTTAAATTATTGGTCTTTTGAAAAGTGCAAAATTAATTTATAAATGATTTCAATTTTCGAAAAATGTACTAGTTATTTTTTTTAATTAATCATTTTTTTGGAAAATAAGGAAAGCGTTTTCGATAACGTGAAGAGATTTTTCTTCCCGCCCTCCGAATTTTGCCACCCCTAAAAATTTGCCGCCCTGGGCACTAGCCCCGAGTGCCCCTAGTGTATATCCAGCGCTGTTTATATCTCTTAAAAAGTAAGTACAAACTTAATAAGTAATTTTCCTTTTTTTTTTGTTCGAGTATACAAATAATAAAACTTATGGCTTTATACCTACTTAGATGTTTTTTTCCACGTGAGACCAATTAAACGTGTTTTATATCAATTTATTTAATTGCTACGTGTATAAATAATTATAATTATTGCATTGTCTATATATAATAATATTCTAACTGAATCGAATCTGTACATTAAATATTTTTTGGAAAATCTTATTGAAATAGTATCTAATTATTATCGATACAGAGGCCGAAGTTTTTAGAATTTTTGTCTGTCTGGAAACGCATAACGAGAAAACCACTGGACGAATTTTGATGAAATTTGGAATGGTGATAGCTGATTGTTTGCCTTTTTACTGCGGGAAAATATCTCATCTCTGACAACTCTAGGCGTTAAAGCGTACCTAGAGATGAACCCGAGCGGAACGACGGTAAGTCGCTAGTTAATTTAAAACGAGATTACCGGTTACATATTTTGAGTTAAATAAGTAGGTACATTAGATGTAGTAAATTATTCCGAAATGCTGATAAATAAGTTTTTAAATGGGTTTGGTTATAACAATCATCAATTCATATATGTACCTACATTGTACAGTACCTACATGACTATTTGAATAAGATTTTCTAAAAAATATTTAATGTACGGATTCGACTTATTAGAATTTTATTATAATATGTACAGACTAACGGCTCACCCTCGCTTCGCTGGGGCTCGCCTCAAGAAAAACAAAAACAAGTCTATCTCACGGGAACCGTATATTTTTCCGGATTAAAAAGTAGCCTATGTTTTATTCCAGACTATAATCTATCTCTGTGCCAAATTTCATCCAGATCCGTTTAGATGTTCTGGCGTGAAAGAGTAACAATCATCCACACATACTCAAACAAACTTTCACATTTATAATATTTATACAGATAGGTATAGATTGTTAATTTCATGATGTATAAAAAAATAAAAGTAAAGGCTAAAATATTTAGAAGCTTTATTATTTCTCTGAGAGAGCTTTTTTAGTAGTACCTAGTTCCGACTTCTGAGTACGCACTCGTAAATACACATACAAATATACATGGCTATTGGCTAGTTTATAATTTAAGAGCTAAGCATTTTTTTTTCATTTTTAGCAGAAGGAAAAGTGAAATCTCGTTAATTTTATTTTATTGAACCATAATTTAACATTGTCAGGAGAACGACTTTGGCCTTGAATATCCAATATAGAGTATGAGTTCTGACAATTCACTGTGCATTTTAATCAATAGTTAACATGCGACTTAATGTGGTAAATATCTAAGTACCTATAGATAAGTATCTACATAGATAACAAGACCTGTGGCTTGTAGAATCCTTTAGTGCATTTAAGTTCTTAACATCTATACTAGGTAATATTACTTTATGTGAAAGTTTGTGAGTATGGATGTTTGTTACTCTTTGTTTTTCTTTTTATCCCGGAAAAATGTACGGTTCCCATTGGATAGGTCTGTTTTTGATTTCCTAGAGGCGAACCCAAACGAAGCGAGGGTGAGTCGCTAGTTTGAAAATAGTCTTGTTTCATTATACCTATATGACTACCCATCAGATTAGTTTCATCTTAGTTGAAAGATTTTGAGATTTGAAGTGCTTAACAAAACTTTTCATTGTAATAAATTATGAAATTTATTATAGTCTATTTACTATTATACAATTATTATTTTCAGATACAATTGCGGGCCAATATTAATTACTACACATATTGGAGGGCCGCAGAAACAAATACTTACGCTCATCTGGAGAAAAAATAAAAGTACAGCTATAATGTTAAATTTAGTTTAATTAATTCTTTATTAATTCATCTCTTACAATTGTATAAAAATCAAAATTAATATTAGTCGTTGTCAGACGCAGTGCGTGTTTGAGTGTCAATGAAAACAGGAAAATTTGTGTGATTGTAGTAAATTAGAAACACATGGTGGGCCGCAAAAATTAAGCCGGGGGCTGTATGTGGCCTGCGGATCGTGCTTCGGGCAGCCCTGATTTAAATAAAAATGGTTAAGAAAATGAAAGTGTTAAGAACGTAATACCAATTTACCTATATATTATGCATGTGTGTAGCAGAAGCTTTTGTTTGCATGGTTATGATATCTTGTATGGCAACTTTTATAGCATTTAATAGAAGTATTAAATTATAAGTTATATTATATTCAACAAACTTTTGTCTAAAATGATGTAATCAACCAACGTTTAATTTACAATTTAGACATTATTTAATAAGAATTACTGGTAAGTATGCGTTTAGATTAGGTACCTATCATCGCTTAAGAGACTTTTAACTAGCCACAATATATTTTTAAGTATATTAAAGTGTCTACATCACTAAATAAAGCTTTTTAGCTACTCTAAAAGACATAGTGTATAAACCTTATATTTATTTATTGAAAATTAATTCATAGAGAACATTTGGCCTTGTTTTCGATTACTTGTATTATCGCCAATTTTCACTCTCTATGAAATTTATCGGTGTATTTATAGAAAATACGTACTATTATTATATCATGTATTCAAAGGAAATATCGTCTTCATATATATATATTTTACCAAAAGAAGCACCAATTTGAAATTAAATTTATTAATTATAATGTAGAAATAATAGGTAAGCGATCATCTCGTTATCACGATACACAAAAAAAATGTCTACCTCTAATAAAAAAGCTTGTTATATCTTGTTATATGAAACTAAATACTTATTTTCCGATTACTATATGCTTAATGATATGCATATTTATTTTTGAATGAGAAAACAATCAATTTAATTTGAAGAAAGCGACGAACGCGCTTTCAAGTTCCATTATTATTAGTCCCTACAGTTCTTTACGCAAAATTTAGTATCAAAAGTTACTTTTACCGAGGCATAACGTGTCGAGCCCGATAATAATAAAATCAAATCCTTTTTGTTCCCTTCGACAAATTCGCGAGCACTTCATATCGTACGCGCTCGGAATCTAGTTCGAATATGTAATGTTATTTAAAATCAGTTGTATGACAGCATCCGTATCTGTTAGTATTGGGTACATATTTAGTTAGTTTTAAAAAGATATAAGGTGAATTAAAAGCCCCTGCCTCTTATATTCCTAATAAATATGACCGCGACTAATATTAGTGCTCGTACCGATGTGCACGCGGACTTCGAGAAATTTGGAAAATTTCAATTGTTCCAATACATTCTGATATGCTTACCACTTGTGATGGTGTCAATGATTCATGTAAATTATATATTTGTGGCTGAAAATGTAGATCACAGGTGAATATTAGTTTTTTTATTACATATTTTATTGCAATTTCTACCTATATATTAATACCTATTTTTTGTATTTTATAGGTGTATTTACACACCTATTTTTTTAATTAAACTTTATAATATAGCAAACTATTAAGGCGATTAAAATTATTTAACAAGAACATAAATTTAAATGAATTTTTCAAAATATTTTTTATTTACGTATGTTATAACTTATAATGCATCTATAGAATATTAAGATATTTTTAGAAACGAAACTTCACGCGTATTTAAGCAGTATAGGCAGAATATAATATACTAAGTAGCAGACCCACGGCTTCGCCCGCGATCAATCTACGAAAAAAAATTTTTTCGCAATAAGTACATACTTTATTATTTGCGAAAATAAGTTCGTATTTCATATTATTTCTTAAAGATATGTGGAAAGCAAATTTAATTTTACCGATCGTATTTTATCTTTAAAGATGTTAAGCATAGGTATATTCTGTAAATAAATTTTCGTTTTATGTATTTAACAAGCTGCACTGTCTCTATTTTTTGCACATAGCTCTACTTCATCTTTTCAAAGTTAGAGTAAGAGAGTACAATGATACAACTCACACACAATCTTTATGACTTTAGAATCATGTAACTTGGCTAATATGGGTTTTTTAACTAACATACTAACATCTAAGTTATATTTAAAAATCCAATGCTAGGTAAACCTGAAGCTTATTTTGCTATAGCTTTTTGCTCGCGGCTACGCTCGCGTAGACTAATAAATTTGCTCAGTTCTCATCCAATCATATCAATTTTTTAATATTATTTGTTCATTTACGTAATCACTCCAGATTCACTTGACTTATGCCCGATTTCACCAACATCCCATAAGCTACCATCTACGTATGGGATCCCTAGCTTAAAGGTTCCCCTAAACTAGCCCCTTAATTAAATTTCGTTTTACCATCGTCAGAGCCCGTATTTCAGTACCTACATATATTTAGGTGACATTTTAACATTTAGGTGACCCCTAACTGTCGGTGAAACAGAAACTGTCTCCTAAAACAGCCCCCTAACCATGCTTAGGGGATCCCTTAAACTTAGGTGACGTTGGTGAAATCGGCCATTAGTCGAAGCTAAAAAACCAACCCTGTCCCTGTGAGAAGGAATTTTCTCTTAAGTCTATGCCTGATCTAATTTTAGCGATGGGCCATGAGATATATTAATAGGTAATAGGTATGAATACTAATTACTCTTAAGTCCATCTAGCAAATACAATAGCAACTATAATGTTTAATGAATTACTCACAGTCTAATCCCGTTACATAACTTAGGTGACTTTTTCATTACAGGTGTGCCAACCTTTAAAAGGAGGATATAGATAGCAGGATCGCGCTCTAGGTCTATTATAGTTGTCACTGCTGTGGCCAGCCGAGACGTTATACATAATTTTACTTTCGGTTCGGTAAAATTTGCGTTCTCTACTTTATATCCCACACAGTAAGTGTGCATTTACGGAGAACTTGAGATATGTTCTCTGTTTAAATTAAACCAACTCCAACTTCACCACCACACACACTTAGGGGCTGATTTAAAAAAAAACCTGTTTATTTAACTGTATTGGAGAGCATTTATACCAAGTTTCAAGTAATCCTGATCATAAACAATTTTTTCCCTATATAAACAGCACAACCTCCTCTTTTCCTTTTAGGGGAGAATTTCGAAAAAAAATATGTTTGTATTGTTTTATTTTTCATTTTAAAGGTAAATACCACTCTCCGTGTATTAATTACAGAGTTTCATACAAACTTTCATCCCCCATTTTACCCCCTTATGGGATTGACTTTCGAAAAATTTTAAAACACTTTTTTATGTATTGTATAATGTAATAAAGAGCATTAATGACAAGTTTCAAGAAAATCTGATCATAAATAATTGCTTGCCCATAGAAATTTTATCACCCCCTTTTACTCTTTTCAGGCATGAATTTCGAAAAATCCTTTCTTAACAGATGCTTACGTTTTCTAAGGAATATATTCCCCTTTCACGTTTCTACGACCAGCGGCTTAGGCAGTCCGTTGATCGATCAGTCAGTCAGTCAGGACAAAGCATTTTATGTATGTATAATGATATAGATTATGTATTATTTGAAAGTTAGCTTTCTACCAGTTTCGAGAAAAAAAGTATAAGTCATAATATTTATGAAAATATCAAATTTAAATTTAAAATTCCATTTTATGTTCCGTACCTATCCGTTTGTAGCTTTAAAATATGCCGGTACTTTAAATAAAAATTGTTTAGTTTACTAAATGTTATGCAGCGCGTAATATGAATGTTAACAAAAGTAGATATTTCTAATAACAATCTAAATAAGAGAAGGCTTTAAAATATTATTTTATTAATTATTTGATAATCTCTTATACATCATTTTGATCATAATGTTTATCGTGCTACCTAGTTTTATGGGTTAAGAAACTTAAGCATGGCCGCTTATAATTTAAAAGTTCGAATTTCCTTTTTTCATGGTCTTATTTATAGTGCAGTTAATGGATAGAATCTGACTAACAAAAGGTCAAGGAGAGTTTTAATTTAGACAGGAAAATATAACATAAAATAAAAAAATTGGATCGGAAATTTAGTGCAAAGTTGACAAAAAAGAAACGTTTATTTTTACTGTAGTAACACATGAACAACCCTAGTTTATGTTATGTAGGTCAAATAAATAATTGAATTTAAAATTTTCTACTTTAGAAGAATAGTTTGTGAGTTACTGGAAAAACTGGTCTATGCAGTCAGTAATACGGAATAATAATAAGGATAGGACTGCACTATATGTACTAAATCAGAACCTTCCTTGACCTTTTATAGCCAAAGTACCTTTTTACGTAATACTTTCTTAGATTTACGCGAATACTTGACATTTTAAATAAAACTATCTTTTCGAATTTTTTCGCGAATTTATTTTGATTTTTGGTTCCCGACGTTTAGAATGCTTTACAGCAATTATGGTCACGGGAGACACTGAGGTGTTAGATGTCTCTAAGGTATTATATAGTTGTTACAGACAGCCTACCCACAATTTAAATTTTAAAATTATGAAATATTTATTGGAAAATCTTATTGAAATAGTCAATATTTTCGATACAGAGGCAGAATTTATAATTTTTAGAATTTATGTCTGTATGTCTGGGAACGCATCACGAGAAAACCACCGGAAAGATTTTGATGAAATTTGGTATGATAATAGCTGGTCATCCGGGTCAACATATAGGATACTTTTTATTGCAGGAAAATATTTCATCTCTCAGAAATCTATACTAAACGTTAGTCTATAAATATTACAAAGCTAAGAAAAATCTAAAGATTATGAAAACTTCGACGGAAAGCTTTACGGCACTTCGATTCTTGAAATTGAACCATTGACATAAAATCAAAACAGTTTCTGCTTGTATAAATAATAATAATTTATAACGTACCTAGTCACATAACGTCAATAAATTATATTACATAATAATAAATTATCAATAACAAAAACTATTATAAAATGACTTAAGATAGTGCAGTATTTCCTACGCGATATTCATCAAAGGCTTTAACAGACTGTAACATGTAATAATTAAGAATAAGTATATACATATAATAATAGGTACATATCCATTATGTCAGACTTAATTCGATGTAATTTTTGTTTTGATTATATAAAATACAAAGGCAGTGGTAGGCCAGTGGTAACGCGCTCGTTTGAGAAACCGAGTGAAGCGAGTTCAAATCCCGGGTCTCGCACCTGTGATATTTTCATGTGCGAATCATTTCCAACATGATTACCACTTGTCTTAAAGGTGAAGGAAAATATCGTGAGGAAACCTGCATGTCTGAGAGAACCTAGCAAGTTTTCAAAAAGACATGTGAAGTCCGCCATCCCGGAAGGGAGGCCCGTGCCCAGCAGTGGGACGTTAAAAAAGGGCTGAATACAATATAAAATACATATTTTGTCATGAACAAATTACATCGGCCAAGTACTCAACGAAAATATTTTTTGCAATTTTTATACTAATGTAGTGTTTATTGGACATACTCGTAGACATCTGTAAAAAGCTACTCTATAGGGTATAGAGTTTTAAAGCGCAATCAAAATATTTCTCAGCGACACTTTTGTGTTATCTACTAGAACATTGTTGTGTTAATAAATAGTATTGCTTAGCACTACAATTTTATAAAACCTTTTATACACAAAGAACTCAAAAAATTGTTTATATTTAATCACTTATTTAACAACGGGTTATTAAATTACAGCTTAGATATTTAATTTAAACCACTAACGGTTCTTCGATTCATTTAAAGGTTAACGAGAATTTAAAATATTTTTTTTTACTGTGTATGAGATCATTTTATGCGCCGGAATTTTTGCATTTTTAATTTAAATTGCATTTATTGCAAAATAGGTTTTAATTGTGCCAATGAGAAGGTTACACTGAATAAGGTGTCTTTTTTTAGAGAATGTAAATAACACTACTTTTTGCATTGTCTGTTTATATTTTCCTGTTACTTATTACCGCATATTTGAATTATTACCTTTTAAAAGTACAATATTAACGAAGTGATAGGTATATATTTACATTAAACGGTTATTTTCCGATAGCGTACAAATTGAGTTCAATTCATTCCACTTAAGCAATTATTAAAACAACGGTCATGTTTCAGCATACCAACATTTGTATCATCAATCTTTATGTACTATAATAAAACAGTAAATACTCGTATATCTACTTATGTATGTATTTATTTTTACCAGTTATATCTTTTAGCTGCGCACGATTATGTATTTCTATTAATTTCATATTAAATTATTATTGCTATGACCTTATTATATAGGTATATATATACGAATATGTAAGTTACACAGTTAAAGAGGGAGGGGTTAAGGCCTAAAGTTACTCCAAAACTTTTCGTCTTCCTTAATATTAAAGGCAAAGCGCTTGTTAGTTTTCCCACAGTACATTTAATGATTTTCTTGGAATTTTAGTCTATTGAAAACATTGACTCGTGGATGGGTTACTAGTATTATGAGTATATAGCCAACAAAAAACAAGTTTCTCTTCGTTGCGATGACCTAAATACAAGTCGTGCATCGCAGACTATAGTGTTAAATATAATGAGAAACTTATATTAAATTAGCATTGCCCGTGGCTCCACCCGCGTTCAGAAAAACCAAATTCCTAGGTTTTACATATTAGTATACTCTTACAATGCAGTTTTTGTATTTTTTCTCAGAAATGAGATATTTTCCCGCGGTAAAAAGTATCCTATATGTTGACCCGGATAACCAGCTATCATCATACTAAATTTCATCAAAATCTATCCAGTGGTTTTCTCGTGATGCGGTAACAGACAGACAGACAGACAAAAAATCTAAAAACTATAGATTCAGACTCTGTATCGATAATAATGTTAATTTCAATTAGATTTTCCAAAAAATATTTAATGTACAGATTCGACTTAGTTACAATTTAATTATATGTATAGATATCATATCTGTACCTAACGTCGTTATTTATCTTCCAGATGTTTGGTTCCAGAATGTGAGGATAAAAGTGCTAGCGTGGAAATCCCAGTTTGGTGGCCTAAAGACGTCGACGCTAAATGTCTAAAGCCAGTTGTAGACAAGCGCAAATATGATTTGTTAAACCAAACATGTTCCAATAACACGTTTCTTGAAATATTGGAAGAATGCCATGAATGGGTCTATGAAAATAACAATTCCATTGTCGCTGAGGTGAGCTTCATAACATGTGAATGTTATGATGCCATTTATATTTATAAAATTTAAAATTATATATTTTCCTCATTTAAACTTCCACTTAATTGTTTTTATATCAACACGAGTAGATTTATTATATTGCGATAAGTGATCAGTATATTACATACTTAAGAACAGGAAAGATCACATGAAGATAGAAATAAGCTTACATAGCTAACCTTAGAATGTTTTTTTTATTTTAACCGACGAAAAAAGGAAGAGGTTCCCAATTCGACACTTATTTTTTTATATTTGACCACGCATAACTTTTTACAGTGTAGTTCGATTTCGAAGAAGAAGTTTCAAGTTTGTCTTATTTAAATTTGAAAAAAATATATGGTAGATAATAGGGGGGATCATTGATTTTTCACCTATTGAATTTTTAAAATGTCTTTTTCTTATTTTGCTACTACTTTGTCTACGTTGAAAATGTAAAAATAAAAACTTAAAAAACTAAAAACCAACTTAAAAAAACACAATGAAGTAAAAAATAACTGATTGGTACTTTTCATTTACTATAGATACATAATCAGGTATTGTTGAAGTCGATGCCAACCGATACAAAACAAAGCACACAGACTTCGAAAATATCTCTATTAGGTATCTATAGTAAATAAAAACTACTTACAAATCAATTATTTTTTACTTTTTAGTGTTTTTTGAAGACGGTTTATTTATTTTTTACATCATAAGTGTATATTTTGCGTCTAAATTTCCTTTGGTAGTTATAATCAAGGATTGATATCTTAAACAGTTAACATAGTATTATTAATAATGTACCAACATACAGTAGGTATGTGGCGGGGCAATTAAGTAATAACAAATGAAGTCTATTGATGAATATACATTCTTTGAATTACGTATAAAAGTATTGCAATGAAGTGTTTTCCAACCTCATTAGTTAAGCGACTAGCATATATCTATATATTTACATATGTGTCGGCTCTGGCGAAAAATATTTACTGGGTTTTCTTCCTCGTGCCTCGTTGAGCATGTAAAGCTATAGGTCCAGCGAATTTCAAAGTCGGTGCCAGCCAACAATATTTTAACATATGAATATCTAATAGGTAAATATGATTAGGTATGAACTCGAATTATAGTTAAAATATTATACATCAATTTGTGATGTATTTTGCGTATCGAAATATCTAATATGCTGGCACCGACTTCAAAAATATCTGCTTAGGTATCTATTCTAAATGAAAACACCCATTTAGTTATTTTTTACATTTTAGTGCCTGGAAGACGGTTTTTATTTATTTTTTTAAAGTTTTTATTAATCACATATTCCATTAAGCAATTTATTTAAAAAATAATAATTTATTGTTGATTTTTTAAAGACCGCTCGACTGATTTCGATAAAATTTAAATGGGACCACCTGGAAGTGTACCCTTCGAAAGAAAAAAAAATCAAATCGGTTCAGGCATCTTCGAGTAATCGGTGAACATACATAAAAAACCGACGAATTGAGAACTTCCTTCTCTTTGGAAGTCGGTTAATAAAAAAATATCATGTACTTAGCATTAAAAACATTTTGTGCATGATTTTAGCTATTTATATAATTTTTAATTTAATTGTAGCTCGATTTGGGGTGCGAATCCTGGAAATCGACACTTGTTGGAACCTTGCATAATGCGGGGATGATTGTGTCCATGATGGTTACTGGTTGGATAGCAGACAAGTACGTCATTTTAGTAAGATATTTATATTATTAAATAATAACAAATTATTATTACCATTTTATTTGGATGTTGCAACGTAAAAATATTTAAGTCCACAAAAATGTAAAATACTTATTAAGGAATAGAAGTATAAAGCTATTAATATATACATATTTTTTTAGAATCGGAAGAAAGCCTACTATTATTATGTGTTCGATAGGTGGCGCAGTTGGCCTTTTAAAAATATTTATCACAAATTTCTATGTTTATCTTGGTATTGAATTTTTGGAGTCCGTATTAGCTTCAGGATTGTATACAGTTGCTGTCGTTTTATGTAAGTAAAAATAATCATATTTTATTTATTAAATATCCCATGTCAGGTACATGAGTGTACATACATAGGTGTACTGTAGGATTCATTTCTATTCATTCTATTTTTTTTAGTAATTGAAGTTGGTGGGGATTCAAAACGAGTACTAGCTGGAGTTATATTTTCATATGCGATTTACGTTGGAGAAGTTACTTTTGCTTTCTTAGCAATGGGACTTCAATATTGGAAGCTCTTAATCATAATTGTATACAGTCCTATGGTGCTTTTTATTTCGTATATCATGTTTTTAAGAGAAAGTACGAGATGGCAAATGATACGCGGAAAGTCAGCCGAAGCCAAGGAAACGTTGAAATTGATAGCAAAAATGAACAAATTGACCATAACAGCTAAAGAACTGTCGGATATAAGCGACGATGACTTGAGAACAGACTTTAATATAGTTGTTCAAAAAGAAAAGGAGAAAATGAAAGATATAATAGCTTCTAAGGAAATAATGCTGAGATTAATAGTAACATCATTCTGTTACTTCACATCGAGTTTCATGTATTACGGCTTAGCAGTTCACTCAGTGTTGCTACCAGGAAATAAATATACAAATTTCGTTCTCTCGTCACTTACTTCTTTCCCTGGAGACTTTTTAGCATTTTTCATGTTCAAAAAGTACGGACGAAGAATATCCTTACAAGGCGCATATATTTGTTCTGCAATATTCTTGATAGCACAAAGTTGTTGCCCTAACTGTGAGTACTATGCAATATTAATATGTTTTTTTTAAATTTAAGAATACCTATTTATTTGCATTACAGTATGATGCTCAAGTAATAATACAAAACCTGTTTTTATTTATTATGTATAATACCTCTATAGCTAGTAGGTTTTCATTATGACTTCGTAGGCCAGTTATCGTATAAACGTGTCATCACGATTTACAATTACATATTTATAGTGCAGATAATAATATATTTTATAAGATCCAAGTAACGAGTTAATTATATATTAAATAAGTACGTGAATTAGATACTTAATTTATTAATAAAGGGAACCGTAGGCTTTTCCGGGATAAAAAGTAACCTATGTGTTATTCTGATGATGAGCTATATTAATATAAAGTTTCATTAAAATCCATTAAGTACTTTTTGTGTGAAAGAGTAACAAACATCCATATATCTATACATCCAGACATCCATACATTCATTTTTATTTGAGGATTCACAAACTTTAGCATTTATAATATTAGTATAGATTTGTGTATAATTAGAAAGCAGTAACACGGTAATGATATACATAACATTACCGTGGCAGTAATATGTAAACTTAAAATAAGCGTTATTATTTTAAGTATGTAAATATTGACTTTCCTTCTATTTTCTACTATTATTACTAACGTGTTGTAATTGTTTTTCAGCATTGAACTGGGTAAAAGTGGCATTATTCTTATTAGGAAAATTAGGTGTAGCGTTTTGCTTTACTGGAATATACACATATAGTTTAGAACTCTTTCCAACCAGTGTAAGAGGAACTCTCATTGGATGTGGCAACACTGCAGCTAGAGTTGGCAGTATGCTGGCTCCGCTTACTCCTTTATTGGTAAATTCGTAATATTTTATAAATTATTTTATTAATATTAATTCAAGTTACATTTTGCTTGACTTTGTTTACTGTGTACGAAGCTGAGGCTTCGATTCCCCTACAGGATGGATATTTATTTAGACCATTTTGTTTAGCCTGTATGGTCAATTTAAAGCGAGACTTAGAGATGATGAAAAGGAGATGAAGGAAGGAAGGAGTAGTGTGTAGTGTGTAGGTACTTAAGTAAATTAAAAAAAACAATATCTAATTATTTTAATGAGTTATATTTTTTTCAGGCTAGTGAATTTCATGCGTTGTCGTCCATCTTGTTTTCCTCAACAGCAATAATAGCGGCTCTACTTTTGACTTTCACACCAGAAACAAAAACATTGCCCATGTTCGATACAATAGCTCAGGTAGAGCACGAGAAATCTAAAGTCATGACGCATTTATAGATTTTTTTATCTTTAGCCTACAATGTGAGTTTAAAGTTTAGACTAACTTAATATGGTATGTTCGCTGATTTCTCGTAACTGTATTCTATTAAGGTAGGTCCCGAGGTGGTCCCGTAAATTTTTTTTGATACAGAGTTTATCGTTTTCGAGAAAATCAGAAAACATGTAATTTGAAGTATGTTTACAGATCTAATTAGTCTTTTTTACCTACCAGAACTTACTGAGGCCATAGGTGGATAGTAGAACTTTTCAATGGTTACCAGTAAATACTTTGTATGCTATTGATAAGCCCAATACGTGAGAATATGTGTACACACATACAATATAATCTATACATAATATAATAAAATTGTAACTAAGTCGAATCTGCCGAACTGCAATATAAGAGTGTACTAATATGTAAAACCTAAGAATTTGGTTTTTGGTCATGTGAACGCGGGCGGAGCCGCGGGCAATGCTAGTATAATATATGTAGTTGGATTGATATTTTATATTTTAAGTTTACTACGTCCTCATTTATTTCAAGAAATACATACGTATGTAAATTAATTATAATTAATGTTAGGTATTCATAACTTATAAAGTTCATCTACTGTTATCGAACTAATTTATTTAAAACACTCAAAGGTGCATGTTATGATTTTTAAGTTGTATGAATTTATTTTATTTTAGGTAAGATTATTGTTTATGTAAAATCTATGTAAAATTGTCACTAAGCCGAATCTGTACATTATATATTTCTTGGAAAAACTTATTGAAATAGACAATGGATACAGAGGCCGAATTTATAGTTTTTAGAATTTATGTCTGTCTGTATGTCTGTCTCTGACCGCATCACGAAAAAACCCTGGACAGATTTTGATTATATTTGGTATGATGATAGCTGGTTATACGGGTCAACAAATAGGATACTTTTTACTGTAGGAAAATATCTCATCTCTAAGAAATCTATACTAACAGTTAAAACGTAGGGACGAACCAGGGCGGATCGAGGGTGAATCGCTAATGTTATTATAAGTATAAAGTACTTTATTCTATTTAAATATTTGATTATACTTTGCACCTATTTTAATTGTATATATTACTAGGATAAGTAAATTAATATTTGGATAAGTATTAAAGATAATAAAACTTTATATGTAGCACATATTATTAATAGAATATAAAATAAAAAAGTACAGAGTTTAAGTTTCATTGAAGTTTCATTTTTATTTTCTAAGTAAAAAAAAAATTATAAGTTCCTAAGCCTCGTCATCTCAATCTAGGACCTGTTTATATCAAAATATCACATTGTTACGAGCTTTTTCATATACAAAACTTCTATAAAACATAATTAAATCGAATAACATAATTTTTAATGGTTTTTTAATCTTTCAACTTAAATTTGGATTCAAACAAGGTTTCAAAAGGGTAAGTGCATTAAGCTTTAGAAATACGTGTATATTATATTGGATTTTAAGTACATATATTTCTCAATATTTAATTGCTTAATTTTGTGACAAACTTCGGAACAGTAAAAGTTTCATCAAAATCCGTTCAACAATTTTTACACTTTACAAGTAGTTGAGTAGTCAGTATGTTATCACAGGTAGTAAATAAGTGTGTCACCGGTCGTTACTAAAGTCCTAATATTTGCCCGTGAAGCGGGAGCATTCCTTAATGATAAGTCAAAGAACTTCGACCGACAAAATCGCTTATAATTCAGTTAGTGGGTAACGCTTATATGTATAGTATGTATAGTACGTATACATCAAAGTATTCACAGATGAAAAAGTATACCAATATTTTTAATTGCGTACTTATAGGTTAGGTACTGTATGTTGTTATCATCATGCGTGCCTCGAAGATTTAGTTAAGACGGTCTTTCGAATTGTCATCTCACCGAAGTTTGAGAGTGATAGAAATAGCGATAGCCGATGCAAAGCAAATCTTAGATATTCATATCTTAAAATATTATCGGCTGGCACTGACTTCGAAAATATGTGATTAGGTATCTATTCTAAATGAAAACCCCCGTTTAGTTTTTTTTACATTTTAGTACCGGGAAGTCGATTTATTTTAGATTTTATTTTTCCATTTTTAGTGTAGACCTAATATGCAGGTAATTTGTAAGAAGAAAGTTTTTTAATAACATATTCGATTAAAGAATTTAGTTAAAAAATATATTTATTGTTGATTTTTTTTAAAAACCGCTCGACCGATTTCGATAAAATTTATTTGGGACCACCTGGGTAGTATACCCTTTGATACAAAAAAAAACCAAATCGCTTCAGGCGTATTCGAGTAATCGGTGAACATATATAAAAAGTTTAAAAAAATACAAAAAAAGTTTTCACTTTAAAAAATATTTACAAAAAATAAAAACCCCGACTGCGTAAAATCGAACTAAAAAGAAAAGAAGTTGACGTAGGAACATAAGTACCTGTATTATGCAGTCGGAGACATACACACATGCAGCTATTCTAAAACATGCAGCTATTTCAAAACCACGAAAAATCGGAAACCAATTAGCTACCAATTTTCTTACTTCCTGACTTGGTTGAAAATAAAATGGAATATAAATATAAACGAATATGAAAAAGGTAAGCCGATTTTTAAAAAAAAATGAATGTGACCGAATTAAAACTAAATTTGGAATTTGGAAATAAGTTTGGAAGTCAATTTAATTTTTAAATTATTATTTTAGAACAGATTTTTAGAGCGATTTTCCCTTAGATAAACTTATTTTATTTCCAAATCCACTAGTTGAAATTATTAGTTGTATTTTACATATTTTTTAAGAAACTTCCACTAATCAAATCTCCTGGTGAATTATTGTAATATTTTCTTTTTCAATTTAATCTTTATTTTTTAGCATTTAGGATGTTCCCTTTTTAAATAAATAAGTTTCTAAACGTATACTGGCTTGATTTATTGACATTTGATTTCACATCTGACATTTAAAGCATTACTTTGACAGGACACCTTTGGTCAATTCCAATTTGTCGCTAAAATTCTAACCTTAAAAACGAATTGCAATTAAATTCTACTAGAATTATAATAAAACCATAAATAAATATCAATAAATAAACATGGATGGTTTCGAAATACGAGTTTCGAATAGTAAGAAGGTAAGTAATATACAAATTCTACTGTTATGATTTTCGTCGGTGCCTCGAATTTTTTTTTCAAATTAAATATATTTACAGGGAAAAGGACTTTTCGCGACTAAACATTTCAATGAAGGTGATGTTATTCTCGAAGAGGAACCCTTAGTTTCTTGTCAATTTGCGTGGAATGCGGCATGCAGATATTTGGCGTGCGATCATTGTATGAGGTGTGTTTTTTAAACTGTTAATTAAATTTGCATGTTACATACGTGCACGTTCTTGGTTATTTTATATAAATTATTTGATTATGAAAGTTCAATTTATATATATAACTAAAATTGATTTAAATGAGCTCTATTCTAGACATTTTTGATATATTTCAGACCACTTGAAACCCCAGAACAAAATGTTCGGCGACTTTCTGCAAAGCCAGATATAGTGCTACCACATTCTAATTGCTTTGAAACAGATTTATTGAACATAACTAGTTGTAATCAATGTGGAATACTCTATTGTTCTGAAGACTGTAAAGAAAATTCATATGCTATTTATCATAGAAGCTTGTGCTACATCCAGAACGAAATACAGCATCCAATAAATGTTTTAATTGAGACATGGAAGTAAGTTAAAATATAATAAATCTAACATAAGAAGCAAACTCTAAACAAATTAACTAAAGACTAATACATTCACATAGCCTTAATAGAACTAGCATAAAACATGTATGTCACTGACCAACTGTATAATACAATTTTTTTTTGTATAACTTTTTATGTAGTCCGATTTTTTTTTATTATATTCTAAAGTATATAACCAAATTACATACCATCTAAGACAATTATATCCATTTTATTTTAATAATTATTATGAAATAAATATAATAATTATATAAAATAAAACAATTGATGAGATGTTTATTATTATTACATAAATTACTCTATTATTATTACATAGTGTTTATGCAGGATTAATATTATGTACATAAAATAATTAAGGCAATGGTAGGTGATGAACTTCTGATATTTTCATGTAAAAATCATTTCCACTTTTCTTAGGTGCTGTTCAAGTTATTAAAAAAAGTTATTACGTAAACAGGCTGAGGCCAATATTTTCATATTTTTATACATAGTTGCATGTCTGAGAGAATTTAACAAGTTTCGAACCAGCACTAGGCCATAGTGGTGGACTAGGGCTTGTCCCCCTCGTATTGAATCCTGGCTTGTGTCCAGCAGTGGGAAAAAGGAAGGACATAAAACATTGCTTAGTCCAAAAACTCATGAAAGAAAGCAAAACACGAAAGCAAGTATCATAAGATTTATCTTTACAGGCAAATACACTATCCACCAGAAACAACAAACATAATGCTATTAGTTCGCATATTAGCCTACATTCAACAGCATTCAGACCCTTCAGCTGCGGCCGCCACAATCAAACAATTTTGTCACAGAACTGTCAATGAAGATGAAGAATTGGCCCACAAGCTACTAGGTGAAGAGTTTAGTAGCCAAATAAATACATTAAGGGAAATGACTGCTAATGTTATAAGTGGGGATTATATACAAGATGTTAGTATTTATCATTTTTAAATGTTTTAATTTTATTATATAAAAAACAGAATTCATAAATATGTATTATATTTTTTGTATATGAAACTTGTATTTCTAGGTATGTAATAAAAATTTTTTAGGGTTACATATCTCAAAAAGAAAAATAGGAACCCTTATAAGATCACTCCATTTTCTGTCTGACTGTCAGTCTGTCCATTTGTCGGTCGGTCTGTCAAAACCCTTTTTCTCAGGAATGCGTGGACATATCAAGTTTAAATTAATATCAAATACTCAGGTCTGCAATTCCTTGGAGTTGTGAAAAAATAAGTACTAAGCTGTTGGCTTAGTACACACGCAATCAAAATATACAGCGTTAAAGCCACATATTTTAAAACTCGCAAGGGAATCAAAATATAGGGCAAAAGAATGTGTTAAAGCACAAGGGAAGGGACAAAATTTTAAAACCGTAAATTCGTAGTAAAAAAAAAACGATGTGATCACAAACTTGTTTTAAATTTTCATGCTAGGGAACCCTCGGTTTGCGAATCAGACTCGCACTAGTCCGATTTTTTTATCCATTAGTATACAATATTAATGACAATATGTATTTATTTTCTAGTTTCTAACACCTGAGGGCTTTTGTTCCCTAATGGCTTTGGTGGGTACAAATGGACAGGGTATAGGTACAAGTCCTTTGGCTCTCTGGGTCAATTCAGTGTCACATCTTACAATGTCAGATGATGAAAGACAACAATTGGATGTGTTCATAGACAAACTTTATCAGTATGTGGAAGAAGGTATGAGAAACATTATTTTTCAAATATGATTCATTTTGTGAATGTTAGTGTAGTGTATTTAAATTATTTTGAATGATTCTATTCTTGCGGCTATTTAGTATCACTGCGACCAATTCTGGTCTATTGTGTATTTTGAATGATAAAGATAATAAAAATATGTACATTATAATTATTATAATGTATTTTTTCATTCTTTAGTTGCTGTTAAGAGTCATCAAATTTAATTTCAAAAAATGTATAAAAAAATTTTTTAAAGGTAAAATTTATTAAAAATATTTTTAGCATTATCATTTATTGCAATATAAGAAACACCTTGTATGTGTGTTTATAAGAGTGCAAAATTAAAAAAGTTATTTTTCATTATTATATAAATAGTATATAGTTAAGAATTACATAAATGTCACTAACATAATACTATATTTTTTTTAGAGTCTGGCCAATTCTTAAACACAGAAGGCTCTGGATTGTTCCAGTTACAAAGCGCATGCAACCATAGTTGTTCACCAAATGCAGAATCGACATTCCCATATGGAAACCATAAAATACAGTTGAAGGCTTTGAAAGCTATTCTGCCCGGTGAAGAAATATTTATCAGCTATTTGGATGAGTGTACTTTGCAAAGGTCTAGGTATTCGAGGCAAAAGGTAAGCTTTGTCACGAAGATAGAAATTCTAAATTTACACATGTAATAAAACAGAAAATGAGCCAATATCACATTAAATATTTTAATAAAAGTATTTGTTATTTTAATGGAAATTTTCATTTTTACATGTTTTCTTTATAATATTTCTTCATTGAGGTCTAATATTGTGTGTATGTATGTGGGTATGTGTATTCACACATGAAAAATTGTAGATCGAAGAACAAATGGAAAAATATTCATGTACATTTTGTAATGCTGTAAGTCATTCTTGTGACTTGATGATATTATTATAAAACAACTAGTTATTTACCCTACGCTCGCGTGCATCCCTAAGCTAGAAAGGTTAGAAGGAACACATAAAAGACAAACATCCAAAGAAAAAATATTTTTTTTTTATTTTATTTTGCACCAAGAACCTTTGCACATATATATACAGGTATACAGAAAAACGCACCAAAGTTTCATCACAAATATGAAATTGTGAAATTGAAATAAATATATTTTCTTTTTACAGGAATTGGCAGAAAACTACCTTTTCATATGCAATTGTGAGCGTTGCATGTCTCAAAGCTCTGAGCCGGACTGCACCAGCGAGGAGGAAATGAGTGAAGATGAAATTGATGCGGACGACTGATGTTCCAACTTTCTTGCCCTGTGCCTACTGGGTATTTGAGACACTGCCTTTTAAGTGACACTGTGCAAGAAAATGTGATAGTTGCAAGAACATATAAAACTGTGCAAGAATGTGTAAAATTGTGCAAGAACAAGAATATTAGTGTTAGAATTCATTTTAGTGTCTCACTTTTTTTAATCTAGGTACATGTGATATGTATGGTTTTTTACATTACTAAAAGTAAACTATTTTGGGTATGTTTAAGTTTAGGTAAACTTTTTAAAATGATTTTCAGCTTACTAATATTTAAATGTTCGATTTTGTCAAGGAAAAGTATCAAAATTACTAAACAATTATTTTCGGGCAGCTTTTTCTTGAAAATAAAATAATTGAATTTGGTATGTTATTTTAAAAAGTGTATATATACAATATATAAAGAAATGTTTGTAATAGTGCTTAAAAAAATATACTTTCTTTCCAATATAATTTTTATGATCTGTTTATAAAAAAACGTGTATAAAATAATATAAACTTATTATAAGTGGTATTTATTTAGTGAAATATTCAATCGTAAATGCTGTGCATATATGTGGAATATTATTTCAACAGAATAACTCTGTGAAAAATAAAAACAAATTATCCCCCGGGAACCGTATAGGTGCTATTCCAAACTATAATCTATCTCTGTGCCAAATTTCATCCAGATCCGTTCTGCCATTCTGACATGATTAATAAACATCCATCCATCCAAACTTTTACATTTATAATATTAATGAGATTATATGGGATTAATCAATTCCATAACAAAAATTTTATTACATATTATAAATGCTTAAATTGTGGTTTGGGCATTAAGTGTTTTATAAAACTTAGATTTACGTGAATATTTGGCATTTTAAATAAAACTACTTTTTAGGAATTTTTCGTGGATTTATTTTCATTTTTGGTTCCTTGATTCTTTTGAGTGTTTTGTTATTTCTTCATGATGTAACGGCTCAACAGATTAAAAAAAAACCTATTTAGATATAGCTTATATCCTGGATTAATTATAGGCTATTTTTCATTGTAATAACTAAAAATAAAAAAATAAAAAAAAAACATTTTAAAAATATGACCCTAATTTACTTTTATAATTGACTAGCGACTGATCCTCGCTTCTCTCGTCCCTAGGTACGTTTTAAATAGATAAAAATAGTTATTGCGAGCGACCTTAGAAGGTAGAAATATGTTATTACGGACTTATTTGTAGACCTTTTTAAGCCCTACGATTTTTTATGTATCTAACGTTAGCTATATAAATTTTTAAGGACGACTCGATAGAACCAGTTAGTGTTTTCCCGTGGGAATGAATGTGGACTTGTAGTAGGTATCCTAAATGTTGACTCGATTAATAAGTTATCACTACATTATAGTTAAAATCCGTTCAGTACTTCTCGCGTGAAATACACACAGATATAGGTACAGACAATCTGTATGTCTATATTCTGTACACAATACGTAACAATCGTTGTTTAAAAAAGAATCATGTACAGATTTCGCTTTGTTACTATTTTATATGTGTATTGATTTGAACTAAAGCATGAAGTGACCATTCTATGCCCATGTAAATATATTTTTATTATTATGTAGGTTTATCTTAATATTCCTATATGGGATATTTGATAATGGCTCTGATACATAAATGGGAAATGTCAAAATCATCGATCAAAAAATACTAGATACACAATCCCAATTCCCATGCAAAAGTTCTCTTCAAACTGTCACCAATTGTGTTTAGGTAATTAATATAGTTGAAATAAATGTACAGCAATGTAAATTGAACCTTAAATGTAGGGATTAAAGTTATTTTCACAAAAAATAATTAAATTAAAATTATATTTAATAATATTATTAATTTAAAAACATTTTTTGTTTCAAGTTGCCTTAAAACTAGAATTTAGACGAAATAAGAACCATCCTTTACATTTGGTCTATTTTACCCATTGGTCTAATTTAAAAAAAAAACATGGAATAATAGAATTTTGAATGTGAATATACCATATTTCTTGAAATTTATTAATATTCGTCCAACTGTAAGAGAAAGTAGTGTAATGAAGATAGGTAACAACGAATTTGGAAGTCAGCCTAGAAACGTAACGAGGCCTAAATATATTCTTATACATAAATATAAATACATATTTCATATATTTAAAACTTAGATTAATGCAAATATTTGACAGTTAAATAAAACTATCTTTTCGGATTTTTTCGCTAATTTATTTGATTTTTGGTGTACAACTATATAATGACTTTGAGATGTCTAAAACCTTAGTCTCTCCCGTGACGATGATTGCTGTAAAGCATTCGAAACGTCGGGAACCAAAAATCAAAAATCCGCGAAAAAATCCGAAAAGATTTATTTAAAATTTCATATATTTATTTGTTTTAAATATAACTCATAGATAACTAGTTATAAGTGACTATGAATTTTAGGAGAGATTCTTCTTGTATGAAATTAGAGTTTTTTAAATTTCATTGTTATTTTATAAAAATAACGTGAGTGTAATTTCGCTTATTAATATTTATTTTAACCCGGTAAAAGGGTACAATGTTTCGAGTAAATGCTATAGTGTGCAATATGCATAAGAGTTGTGATAGATTATATTTCTTCTTCTTCGCCATTGTATTTGATATTGGCGAAGTAATCTATGCTCAATTGGCACGCTTTTAAGCCGTTAACAAAAAAATAATGATATTTTATTTAAATGCGTTTGTTTGTAGTCAGCCCTTCTTTTCGTCCCATTACTGGGCACAGGCCTCCCTTCAATGCGAGGGGGATCAGGCCATAGTTCACCACGCTGGCCAAGTGCGGGTTGGCGGAGTTCACATGTCTTTCGAAAACTTTTCAAGGTTTCCTTCACTGTAAGACAAGTGCTAATCGTGTTGGAAATAAACGCACATAAAATATGTGCGTGACCGGGGATTTGAACTCGTTTCATTCAGTTTCTCAAGCGAGCGCGTCACCACTGTGCTACCACTGCCTCTGATGTGTTTGCGATAGTAAAATTACAAAGGGAAAAATATTTAGTTTTATAGCAAAATACGTTTCAAATTTTTAAAAATCTATTCTTAAATTTGTATCTATTAATTATTAATTTTAATAACTTTTTTACGACATTTTGACGTGAACTACAAAAAATATGTTCATATTTTTACACAGTCGATTCTTTTTTAATTTAACTGTATTATTTAATTCATCTGGTTATTTTAGGTTATTTATATATTAAATAAGAATTATTCTTTCAATAAATGGGTAATATTCGTTATTTTTTAAGTTTAAGTTAGTGGATGGAAAAATACAATGTTATGGTATTAAATATATATTTAGATTTTAGAATGTTTATTAGATATAACATAGGTATATGTTTAGACTTAAATCATATTGGTAAAATTATCAACATCTGTAAGGAAAAACAACATAGCTTACATATTTGAGTTAGACGTAGTTCAAGACTAAAATGTTCTTTTATTTTGATTTATTGAAAAAAATGTTGTAAGTATAGTCCATTCGCGTTAAGAAAATAGTGAATCATCAAGTGCAACGGCAGGTAAAGGTGTATACAAAGTGGGAGTAAAAATTTAAATTCAATAATTCAAAAGATTAAGTTTAATGGATAAAAATCAACTTAATTATGTTAAATCAAAATAAAGTCATCATATAATGATAATTACTTTATTTTGATCTCAGATAGTTAATGAACACAATGATCTCAAATCAAAATAAAGTCATTAATAATATATTTAAGTCTGTCTATAACTGGTAATTGTGAAATTTGACTTTATTAATTTATGCAATCTAATTGGTCGGGAGGCGTGGTTAGGCCGGTGGACACCGATGACTCACTATTTTCTTAATGCGAATGAACTATATTAGTGTTATTTTACTAGATATCAAGCATATTTTAACTTTTATAATTGAAAATAACTCTTGAAGAATAAAAATTTGCGGGGCAATGGAAGATAATGAGTCATAAGATATTGCATAAGGATTGAGCCTTATAAAATGCCAAAACAGGTTTATTTACAATTTTCTAGCTTATAGTCTTCCTTACACACTATTTGACTGTACTTATATAGATATATTTTTTTTTCATTATTTGCTTTTAAAAAAAATGTACGTCCGAAATGCAAAGTTTATATTGTAAAAGAAAAAATAGGTGTATAATATTATATTATTTACTTCTTTAATATATACTAGACACCTCGCTTCGCTCGAGTGCGTTCTTGCCATATATTTTATTGCTCTGTATCAAACCGTGCAGGCAGCGCTAGCCGATAAAACAGCCAGACTATTTTCGACGCCATTTAAAGTTATTATGATTTCTGACAGTAAACATTTTTATTTACTTGTGTTACGATGCTTTTCCTTGCAGGTGGAGTTAATATATAGATATATTTTAGCTCGTTTATGATTTGCGTTCTGAGAAACTTCTTACGTATCATAAAAAATATCAGCATGCAATGCTTCTACAAAATATAGATGTATTTTTTTTAAACTCATATACTAATAGGTTTCGTAGAATGTTATATGAGGTTATTACAAAAAGGTTCCTGCGGAAGTATGAGAGCGAAGCGAAGCTAAGTCTGACGGCGATAGGTGATATTAGGTACACCGTATAGTTATAGTTTGGCGTTGACATCACAATACTCGTCTCAACACCGTTGAAAGTTCGAATCAGAATCTGTATAAAAATTAAATATATTTGTTAAAATTCAGATTTCTTGGACTACAAAATTTCATTCTTTCCGATGTAAAAAGCAAATGAAGGTCAACGTAATAAACTCTTCGTTCCAAATATTTTTATTTGATAACTATTGTTATTAGCAAATAAGTTATTAGTTATTATACGAATTAGAATGCTAGATCTATTATATAATAAATAAATATATTCCTTATAGCTAACAAAGTTCTTAAGAGCATGTGATTTTTACTTTAGTTTTGTGGTGAAATTTGATTATAAAGTGAATGACGCTTAAAA